AATCACCATTTTCCATAGCTTTTTGTATGTTTACCAGGCCGGGTAACATGTTGACACATGATCAACCAGTGGATTTGGGTGGTGACCCTTGGGGAACCCAACATAGCCACGGAACATGGCCATGTTTAGGCCATGCTTAATAGGCAAATCGTATAGAAATGGGCATGTCCATGACTACATGTTAAATCACTAAGATTCAATGTGGGGCCCCCCAGTGATGTTAGTTGGTTAACAAAAGCCGCAGTAACTATAGTCATAAGTACCATAAACCATAGTTACTGGAGTTATAAACCAACTTAGCTATCTAGGGGGCCCCACTTTGTTGGAATAATGGCACAAATCATGCGCTCAGCTAACCATTCGGTATGTCGTTGATTGGTTATATCCCCCTTGTTGATGGTGAAATCACCATCGCTGCTGCTTCAATCGAAAGGGATCATTAAATCTGGGTAAATTATAACGACCTCACTGCGACCTCACTGGGAATCATGGTTAATAAGGGGAATCATCCCCAAATGGCCTTAATTCAGGTTAGTGAAATATTATAATTTGCCCAGATTAAATAGTGAATTTTGACCACCAAAAACCACGTGGTTGACCATTTGATGGATCGGAATAAAGTTTTCCTCGGAAGTGGTGGAATAATGGGTATATGATGGGATATTAAATAAATTGTATATAACCCATAGGATCCATGGTGCTGGTATATATGCTAACATGACTGGGGTATATTGCTGGGATCCATGTTACCATATATAGCAGCACCATGGATCCTATGGGGAATGGTGATAATGATTCAATGGATTAATTATCCACTTGAAAAGGAAGGATTTGGAAATATAAAGAACCCTGCCTGCAAACAGAAACTGATGAGACAGGCTTTTGGCGGGCTGGAACATATACTGGAACAATGACCGATGTTTGATGTTGGATCCAGAGATTACCGAGACAGCGCAGATACAGATATGGCTAGATCAATACCTATACAAGCATGAACCATATCCAGTATTCTTGTTCAGAATACCTATGGCTGAATACCGCACTTGTATGAACAGGGTCTGTTTCTACATGTATACCCTCTGGTAAACTAACATATCTATGGAAAATCACCATTCTCAATGGGAAAATCCACTATTTCGACTGGGCCATGGCTTCAATAACTATGTAACAAATTACCAGAGGGTAAAACCACCAACCAGAATCATGTCATTAACCATCATTAACCATCATTAACCATCATTAACCATCATTAACCATCATTAACCATCATTAACCATTATTAACCATGGAAATCCCATTAAGATCCAACCATAAACAGCAGCACTCCATTCATGATTCGCGAAGGCGACCCATGGCGACATCTTCCAGAGGATAATACGACTCAGGAAATGGCATGTGAATGAGAAATATCCTGAGACAATGGCTTGAGGTGTTCCAAGCCATTCTACAAAGTGAGGCCCCCAAGATATCTAAGTTGGTTTAGAACTCCAATGTCACTATGGTTTATGGTACTTATAACTAACTACTTACTGGGGCTTATAAACCAACTTAGATATCTAGGGGGCCTCACATTTCAGGATATGATAGGTAAATGATCGCCACCTATGTATTTACTCAATTTACCTCCCAAACGTACCTGGGCTGTTTGGAGCAACCCTTCTGGGTATTGTGATATATTGTGAGACTCAAGCCATTCTAGGATATTTGGTAAATGATCGCCACCTCTATATTTACCCAAGCCTTGTATTGGGTATTGTGATATATTGGGTTCGACAAACTCCGGCAACTCAGGTATTGCAACATGTCTAAGATTCACCAGCAGGAGAGCGGTGTCGCTGTGTCGATGCTTTTGCGATTTGGATCCTGGAAGTCCTGGAAGCCCTGGAGGTTGCATGAGAAGGTGTACCCTCTGGTATATAACTCACCATTGCTATGGAACATGGACCTTTTATAGATCTGGGTACATTATAACGCCTCACTGCGACCGAACCCTGGAAATCATAGTTAGTAAGGGGAATCCTCCCCTTTTATGGCCTTAATTCAGGTTAGTGAAGTATTATAATTTACCCAGATACAGGATGGTGCCCCCCAGTTATAAGTTGGTTTATAAACCCCATTAACTATAGTTATATCTGCCATAAACCATAGTGACATTGGAGTTATAAACCAACTTAGCTATCGTTTGGGGGCACCACCTTGTAGATGCTATGCATATCTATGCATACTGGATATGGCGATTTCCCTTCCTTTGACCAATCGGACCATTTCTTGCCAGATGAATGGTCCGCAGCAACGACCTGTTGTCGCACGCTAGGCTAGGAGGCTAAACTGGCCCATACCCAGATGGCAGCCATGACCATTCCCGATTCGGAGAAAAAAAGGCCTATTTGTTTAGGCCTAAATTTCAGGGAATATCCCTACAAAACATGGCCAAACATATGGTACAGTACCTCAACTTTTTTTCGGTACCTGAATGGGCCATTGACCCGATGTCAGGAAATACAGGAAAATCGAAGGGGTCAAGATTTAGTTCCGTCTTCTGAGTAGAGTCTAGAGTCTCGCCATCCGGTGATTCTATCAGGTGGAGCCCCCCCAACAAATCCCAACAAGAGAGGCTCAGTTGGTCGATGTGCCTGGGTAAATGTTTAGGGTTTATAGTAATTAGACAATATTAGACATATTATGATAAATGTAGATCAATGTATATATATATAGATAAATGTAGACAAATATTAAGATATATCATCATATATCAATAGTTCATGCGGTTTATTAAGACCAACCAGCCTTTGCATTTCACCACCGGGGGGCACCGCTTTGTAGATGCTGAAGAGGGCCACGCAAAGCGTCGTTTCGCTTTTTGCGGAAAACGAAGGATCTGCGGCCTGGGTCGAAATGACCAACCCCTGTGAGTCATGTGAGTTTGTTTCGAAATAGGGTAGCCCAAAATACCATAGGTATCCATAGGCTTATCATTATTTCGCTTTTGTAAACTCAGTAGTTTGAGATATGTTGAGATACTTTGATTCTATATCCATCTATAATATATCTATAATATATCTATATATATATTATTCTTATTCTTATTATTATTGTTGTTATTATTATTATATTATATTATATATACATGATGGTGTGTGTACCATTTGAGATGAAGTGGTGTAACGTGGCGATGCTTGCGCAAAAAATTCTCCGAGCCCGGGCTGTTTGTTCAGCAGAAAAAAGTGCTTTAGGGTTTACGTAAAGTTTACATGTCCATCATTAATCATAGCAAAAGATGTACCCTCTGGTAAACTAACATAACTATGGAAAGATCCACCATTTTTAATGGGTAATAACCAGATGGTACCCTCTGGTAATTAGTGGGGATTTATGATTTAATGGGATTTAATGGGATATCTGATGATATACCCTCTGGTAAACTAACATAGCTATTGAAAATGACCATAGAAATAGTGGATTTACCCATTAAAAATGGTGGATCTTTCCATAGTTATGTTAGTTTACCAGAGGGTAAAAAACCAATGTTAAATGATGTATAGAACATATGTAAAAAAAATATAAAATTGGACCATGTTTGCTCTTTAGGCAACAATGACATATGCTCCATGTATGGTATATTTACCTACATGACTGGGTGATTTTGTTCGGGCAAATGATGGTAAATATTCCAGCACCATGGAGCATACGGGAATGATAATTATACAGAAAGACATCTCCAAGAGCCGCTAAGCCGCATTTCCTGATGGCTCAGAGCTGATTTCGGTGTTTGTAGCGTGTGGCACCGGTGGGCAACCACCGAACAGGGGAAGAACTTGAAACATGGGAAACCATGGTTAAAACCTGCAAAGAATATCATGGAAACTTCAAGAAAACCTATTTTTGTAGAGTTTGGTATAGGCTTTCCTCCTGTTGAGTAAGGTATCAAAATTGACAGCCTGCAAAAGCTGTGAAAGTCTTCCGCCCAGCCTCCATTTGAAGTCGCCCAGTGTAACAAGATTGGCACAACAGACCTGGTGGTTGACAAGTTACAGACTTGGGAGCCCTGACTTTATGTTTGTTATGTTTTTCTCAGCGCTGGTTTTCGGATATAGCAATAATCATCAACAAACATTGAGATCTGTCATCTACAAGATCTTAATCTTAAGATGTACCCTCTGGTTATTTAACATAGCCATGGAAAATTGCCCATAGAAATAGATGATTTTCCCAGCGCACCAAACCTCCATGGCTATATCCATTTATTTTCGGGATTTTCCATGGCTATGTTAGTCATAACCAGATGGTTTTGGTCGTCCTTTTCAGCACACGACCCATCCATCGATTGGGGTCCTCCGAGATCAAAGCTCCGTAATGGACTTATGACACTGACGTCCAGCTGCTTGAAGCTTTATTGAGGTTCCTGGGCTCTTAAGCATATTTATGGTTAATTATATTCATATTTTACATTATGTATACTGTATATATATTACATATACATAAATATATATATATATATCCAAGTAGATGTTTGACATTGTACATATACAGTATATACATATAATACGTACATATATAGACATATGGTGAGAATATATCCAACTATGATGATGTTTTGGGCGTAGAATTCCAAATCCACCAATTGTGGATTAGATTTTTCTGTCAAACAAATTCGCTTATCGAGCAGCATACGGGTTATGAACAAATTCATGGACTTGAAAACCACTACAAAACAAGTCTATAATATGTTTTAAATTTAAAGATATCCAGATTCTTCCCTTAAAACATGGTGTTTTACCCCAGTATCAACTCGTAATTTGACATGTTTGGGGGCTATTTGGAGGGTCTGGGTATACATATGTAACATTCTTGAACCAACTAAATTCACCCAAAAAAGTTTGAATAATATGTTATGATAATTTAGCATTAACCGTCATTTAACCAACTAAAAATAGGTTTGCACCTTCACCGGAATCTTTTCGGTGTGCATTAACCATAGTATTTAACGAAACATCACCGCACTGCCATGCATTGCTTGGATGAAACTTGCCATGGCCTCCGTGAAGCCCTGGCCACTTTGCGGCCACCCGGTTTGAAACAAAATTTGAGGGTGGAGTCTGGGAGGTGGATGACAGGTAATAGCTAATCATAGGTAATATCTAATGGTAATATCTAATAGATAATCACAGGTATTAGCGATCTAATTATTGGATGATTATATCTAGGTAATGGTGATATCTAGTGTCTAATAGTGAATAATAGGTATTAGCTATAGGATATGTCTCATAGATGCTGATAGGGAAATGACAACCTTGGCTAGGGAAAGATAGAAATCATATCCAATACGGCATGATAGATAATAGCTACAGGATGGGGCCCCCAAGTTATAAGTCGGTTTATAAACCATTATAAGCCCTATTAACTATAGTTATATGTACCATAAAGCCACTTATAAGGCAACTTAGCTATCTTGGGGGCCCCATCCTGTATCTAATGCCTTTGAACATCTATAACTTGGATTTGCCGAAGATGATGGAATGAATTTTCTCCGTGGGAAATCCAATACTTGGGGAATCGATGAAGGGAATCATGTTTATTACTGTTTGGTGGTTCCTGAAACAAATCCATGATAATCATCTATATTTATCATAGGATATCATAGGTAAGCCTTTGTTTTCGGATAATTGATAGTTAATATCCGTAGGTGGTAGATTAAAACTATTGGATACAATGATTAAGCATGATAGATGGTTATACATAGATGAATGATAGGATGATTCATCTACCCTCCAGTAATTTAACAAAGCTATTGTATGCTATTGTGTAAATGGCCGATTTATAGATGAATTAACTATTAAACATGGTGATTACCCACTGTTGTGTTAGTTTACTGGAGGGTAGTTAATAAGTACCCAATAGCACATGGTCACAACGATTAGCCATATTGTCAATGATTATTGATAATAGATGGTTGATACAGGAATGTTCGTGGATAATCATTGTGGTTGATAACTATCCAATGACGGATGGTTAAAGGACCTCGTTTCTTAAACATGGTAGAAATGCTTGGTTTAACCATCAACAACTAGGGATTGAGCCAATGAAGAATGGAGTCAGTGAACATTGGTAAGGTCGTAAACTATCCAGTGGTGAACTTCGTGTCTTGAAATAGGGATATGTATATATATATATACAATGTGGGGCCCCCTATTTATAAGTTGATTTATAAGCCCCAATAAGTATAGTTATAAGTACCATAAATCATAAACCATAGTTATTGGAGTTATAAACCAACTTAGCTATCTAGGGGGCCCCACTTTGTATATATAGCAATTGTTGACGGATATTCCTTACACTATACTATACCGACTATGTTCCTTTTTGGGATGGGTGTCTAAACGAGAAAGCAAGGATTTCAGTTCCCAATTGCTTATCTACCTATATGTGCTTGCACATGCTTGCCTATTTTTGCAGGTTACATATGGTTATAAACTAGGAAAACTATGAACAAGAACATAGCTTCACTGAAGAACTATAATGAATTGTCTATGATTGGTGGATGTTCCACCCAAGTATTGGATAATTATATCAGTTATCTCCATACTCTTGTCAACGTCCCAGATATTTGTTGGTTAAATCAGCAATTTTTCTTAGTTCTCTCCATGTTTCTGCTGTTTCAAGCTCATCAACTTTGTTGCCTTCAATCAGATAAATCATCTGAGTTCTCCCAATTGTTGAAACTTACCCTCTGGTAATTTAACATAGCTATTGAACATGGCCCAGTCGAAATAGTTGATTTACCGTTCTCAAAGGTGGATCTTTCCATAGTTATGTTTGTTTTCCCATCACAAATGGTGGATCTTTCCATAGTTATGGTGGATCTTTCCATCGTTTTTTGTATGTTTAGCAGAGGGTAGATCCATTTAGCTTCAACCCATTGGGTCCTAAGGCGACGAATCAACTTGCTGCGCGGCGACTCCTCCAGAAGCTGGCTGGGCCGCAAGGAGTACTGGGACGCTGCCTATGCGTCGGGACGTTACAAGGATAGCTATGCCGCTTGTCAAGGGACGGGAAGGCGCTATTTTTTCTAAGAACAAGTGGGGATTTGATGGTTCTGATAGCTGGTTGATAGAATATGGTTCTGAGTTGATACCACATTTAGGAAACATGGGGATTTGATAGTTGATAGTGGTTGATAGTTGATAGTTGGTATCGTTTGGTGTCAAAAAGTGGACAATTTGAAGATCATATGGGGATTTGATGGTTCTGATAGCCGATAGTGGTTGAACATTGTTGAAAACAGTTGATAGTTGTTTGAACATACTTATATAATACCCTCTGGTAATTTAACATAGCTATTGAAAATGGCCATTTAGAGTTGATTTTCCCATCAAAAATGGTGATTTTCCATAGCTTCGTTAAATTACCAGAGGGTAATGGTTGATCATGGTTGATTATAGTTGGTCAATGTGCCGAAATCAATGATATCTATGTGAATATAGATGGATATGATATGACCGCTGTGGCTAGAGTTGATGTCCTGAAATGTCATGTGAATGGGGAATATCCTGAGACAATGGCATATTTCGCCAGCAATATGGAGGTTTTAATGGTAAAATCTAGGGAAAATCATCTACAATGTGAGGCCCTCCGAGGGCCCTCCAGTTATAAGTTGGTTTTAACAAAAGCCCCGGTAACTAGTTCGTTATGTGCGTAGCATAAACCAGTTCGTGACATTGGAGTTATGTGAACCAACTTAGATATCGTGGCCGGGGGCCTCACTTTGCAACAAGCATCACCAACGTTTGCCCAGTATTGGTTTCACCAAAAGCCTGTGGTTTCCCCAGAGCTGTTCCCTCTTTGAAATGTCAGCTGGTCACCTGGTCTATAAGCCATACCATACATAGATGTCCTTTTCCCATTGGTTGGTTGATTAATAGAGGGGTTTGTTTACCCCTTTAACAACAGGTAAATGATGAAAATGATGATAGATGGTATACCAAACCGGCCCTCTATTTTTACCAAAAGGACATTATTGACACCATACACATCAATTTTCTCATGGATCAATTTATGATTGGGTACTGTAAACATCAGAAATTTAACAGTGTGTAAACAAACTCTAGTCCATACACATAAATGGGTAAACATCCCATCGAAGTTCTCAAATTTCGTCTGTTACTGAACTCACAGGAGGTGATTTTGACAGTCTGTGGGGATGGCCTGGAGCCCCTTCAGGGCACTTGGTAAATATGGCAGTTGTCCGTGGCAATGAGGACCAAATGGTTGAAATATGGAGAAATCTAGGCGCCCTCCTCTGTTTTGGCCAAGGCCCAACCGATCACTTTGCAGAATTTCTGCACAATTCCATAGCTTTTCCATGGATTTCACTTAAATGTCCCATAGATTGTGTGACTCAGCCAAGTTGCGACGATGCGTCAATAAAAATTTCTCATATGGCATATGGTGGTTTCCTGAAATAGGGGTACCCCTAGTTATGATCCACTTATAGCTGGGATTTTCCATTATAAACCAACCATTTTGGATACCTCCATTTATGGCAAGCCCCATACAGGGTGGGGCCCCCAAGATAGCGTTCAGTTGGTTTATAAGTGGTTTAACAATGGTTTATGGTAGATATAACTATAGTTAATGGGGGTTATAATGGTTTATAAACCAACTTAGCTATCTTGGGGGCACCACCTTGTAGATTTCCCATGCTAGATTTGATGAGTGTGGCACTGAGGAGTGGAATCAAACCTGTGAAACGATCTGGCCGTCACTGAGATATGGAAAGGTGAAAAACTGCCGGGTGGTTTGAATGCGATGTTAGTAGAGTTTAGTTGAATTTAAAAAATCAGAAGTGGACTTTATCCGTCAGAAATCAGACATTTAATTTTAATTGGATTTAACCACAATGAACAGTGGATATGGGTGAGATTTCGCTGTGGATGGGTGAAAGAATTCTATTTGGAACACAAAACTGGCTGGATGGATTGTAACAAAAACCTCAAGTTTGTTTCTTGGCGAGGGGGGGTAGATGGATTTACATAGATATTACAACAGATTCCATTGAGATTGAAACTTTTACCATAGGATGTTTATTTTTTGGAGCATCCGGGACTCATAACTTCTTGAAAACCAGCCTAAGATCCCTTAGACAAAGGCACATATGGAGCGGTTTTCCAAATCTGGAAATAGCAATAAGAATTGGAAACTCGATGTGATAGATTCCGGAAATGGTCTCGACTCAAAACTAAAAAACGGGCAAATATCGTTGTGATTCACATCCCAACATTGACGACGATTCTGGCAACAAGTTTGGGATGCGGTTCCATAAGGGTAGCAGGTTTTTGGGCTGTTCCAAACTTCTAGCCGTACCTCCGGAGGCATTTTTGACAATTGAGGTTGAGAGATGGTTTCCACAGGGCTGGAACCATAGATTTTCCACAGATTTCCATAGATTTTCCATAGATTATTTGGGTTATTCTGTTTACGCATATGTGGAGTTGTCTCAAATTTTGAATCCCCAGATACTACCATGGGTTTGAACATCATGTTCGCAATTGGAATGGCAAGCTTGGGGCCACTCCCCCAGGTTTAGACTACCTAAATGGTTTTTTAAATCACTTGGCCTCCAGAAAATTTCAACAGCTTTTTGGAAAGCAACTGATCCCAATTAATCCACAGTGTTGCAAGGTGGTGCCCCATAGTTAGCTAAGTTGGTTTATAACTCCCATAACTATGGTTTATGGCAGATATAACTATAGTTAATGGGGTTTATAAACCAACTTATAACTGGGGGGCACCATCCTGTGTTTATTGTTGATGAAATTAGAATCCCTTTTGTGGTTCCATAGCCGTGGCATCCCGTGGTTTTTGAAACAAAAAGGCATTGATCAATCTGTCCATTTCCTCACGAGGTGCACCCTCACGAGCCCATTTGACATCATCCATTACATGCACGAATCGTTGATGTTCGTTGATTACACATCATCCAAATATCCCAGATGCTCCATGGTGCTGGTAAATTTACCTACAAAACTGGGTGATTATGTTCGGGCAAATGTTGGTAAATATTCCATACATGGAGCATATGGGTATATCCAACTGCTGCATCTTCAGTTTATATCCAGTTGCTGACGTGAATTTCGACATGCTTTTGATGCTTTTTGGAAGTCCAAATTGACCAATGGGGATGGGTCAATACCTCCAAATTTCGGGGGATGAACAAATGACCATCGACCAGGCTACATGGGGTTTGGCCCACAGCCAAATGGATATTCGTTATCATTGTTGAATATCATTATGAACTTCTACAATGTGAGGCCCCCAAGATATCTAAGTTGGTTTATAACTCCAATAACTATGGTTTATGGATGTTTATGGTACTTATAACTATAGTTACTGGGGCTTATAAACCAACTTATAACTGGGGGGCCTCACATTGTATGAACTTCTAGTGTTTGATGGTTCCGTAGCCATAATTTGTTTTCCCATAGGCTTCCCATATTTTATTTTAGATGTCCATCAAATCTTGGAGATGTTCCATAAGATTTCCCGCAGCTTTTCCATAGATGTCCATGGATTTCCGTTCGATTTCCATAGGTTTCCCATAGATTTTCATATATAGATATCTCGCAGATTTCCCGTAGATTTCCGTGGATTTGCCACGGACTTCGAGGTATGTGCTCAACACCCTGGAGAGTCGCTTGGATGCGAAGATTTTGCACGTGGGATGTGGCAACAGCCGACTGGGCCGCATGCTCCATGATGACGGGTACATCAATGTGGCCTGGTCACGAAGTTGGGAGAAAGGATGGGACGATATGGGACAAGAATGAAGACAAAAATTAGCAGTGGCTGCTTGCGAGACACCCCTGTTGGTTGATGATTATCTCACTATCTCTGTGTTTGAGAGGGATTTAACATGATTTAACCATCAGTTATTTAAGAAATGAACAAAAATCATGGGGACATAGGTGACAAATCACGACTGAACCGGTGGTTTCAAAGGCGACTGATGGCGGCCCCTGGTAGATTTCACCAAGAAATTCATGGCTGTTTGAAGCTGTTTGAAGTCGGGAGATTCGCTTGCGAAAACGTATGGAGATTCGCTAAGGGAAGTCTTTATTGAAAACGCGACCGTGTTTTTGGAGTTTAGATTCTTTTCATGTCTGATATCTTTAAATGATTTAAATGCAAGGCCCAGTTGATCTGGTTGATCTGGGCACTGGTAGATCGGTGTTGAATCACAGGTGTTAAATCATCATCCGCATCGGGTTTTTGGCGATCTTCCCAGAGGTGTTCTGATGAAATCATGAGCCAATGGGCCTTGAATTAAGATGTACAGCTGAATTTAAGACGTGTTTTGCCTACGTACCTCGACCCTGCATTTATGCATGTTTATGCACTTTTAAATCGTGGTTTACACCATAATCAACTATATAGTACTTTTACCATCTTTTACCATCAAAATTGTGGGTAAGAATGAAAGGGTCTAGGTAGTTGTGAGCTCATGATCCAAGGTACTGAACGTTGACTACAGTGGCTTGGAACCGAAGCATCCCCATGAGTGGCCTTAGATCGGTTGAAATTTTCAGATTTGATCGTGCCCATTGTTTAAAGATAAGCTTATACAATGTGAGGCCCCCAAGATGGCTAAGTTGGTGAACATAACTCCAATGTCACTATGGTTTATGGTACTTATAACTATAGCTACTGGGGCGAATCTAAACCAACTTATAACTGGGGGGCCTCACATTGTAAAATACGTTGCACAGCAAGCACTTTTTTGGGGATTTGTTATAACCTCTCTGGACGATGCTTCGGATTGTGTCAGTGACTCAGTGAAAATCTTGGGTGAATCTGGCGCGATGGATCTCAATGGGCTTGACTTTTAGGGTGCGTATTCAAGTTTGTCTTCGAAGATAAAAGTGATATAAGTTGAAACATATTCCTCCCAAGGGATATATACTTAAAGCATCTTAAAGCCTTAGTGCCTAAGCAGAGGCTTCCTAGATGGTTCCTTTCAATAAGCGGCCCTGTGCACCTGTGGGGTTGCATAGGGTGGTTTGTCTGAAGCAATCTCGGTGTTACAGTTCAAAAAGTCATCACAATTTGTTGCTGAGATATTGGATATAACAACTTATCCCACCATAATTGCAAAAGGTAAGTATCCCCACTGTTTAGCCATGGCTAAAACCAAACAAGCAGAAGAAAGTTGGCGCCGCTGGAGGTCGGGTGGTGATCAAGATGATGCAGCAAAGCCAGTGGCTCCGTCAAACACGCCTTGATGTGTTTGGAGACCCCAAAGGAACTGGTTTTGGTACCTAAAAAGGAAAAAATGCAAAATCCGGCGGATTGGAAGATTCGATTCCTCAGTATTTGATGATTTTGATTGCTATTTTGGGAGTGGAATACTGCATTCTAGCTAAAACTAACTGGTTTCCCCAGAACAACTGACAATTCTTGCCGGACTTTGGATGTTGGGGTCTCAAATTTGTGGGTTTCATCATTTTTTGGTATGCAAATTTGTTAATTAGTTATATTAGTTCTCTCCTTCTTGGACGATGATCCCCAGTGATATACTCATTCTGGGGGGTCAGGTTGTTTCTAAGGGAATATTTACAGGAAAACCATGGAAAACCCTACATTGTAAGGATTGGATTGAGGTTCTTGTTTCTTTTCTTCTCAATAGACTGGGTCTGTCTCAGCTAAGCAAGACTCCAAATGAGAAAGAACCGGAATGCAAACCACTATATTTCAATCACCAGAACATGCTTTCTGGTTCAGATTTTCCCAGCAAAGCTAAGTGGACACCAGAAAACAACTTATAAGTTGGTAACGGTTCATTCATAATCCCCATTTTTAGCCATTCAGTGTAATCCCCCCATTTCCTCAGTCATCATCAACAATCATTTATCAATTTGTGAATCCACGTGGAAAAAACCCTGGGTAGGAAAATTGATAAATAGATAGAAATGGATAGAAATGGCGATTTATTCTTTAGAAGAATGAAGCAACACCAATGATTCTGCAGGGAATTGCAATTACGACGTAGAAAAAACTCGACAACCCGAGGCCCGAATTGCAATTCCTTTGCGTCGACTGCGCAGAGAGCGGGGCCTTGGGAGAAGCTGATCATTTCGACTTCTGCGTAGATAAGGCGGCCTGGGTCAACCTTTGTTCAACTAACCAGCTAAATTAGCGAAAATTAGTTTTTTTTTCGATTTTTTTTGGGAGGTATCTAAGATTCACCATGAGCTGGGGAAGCATGGGGAGCAGCAAAAACGATAAGTTAAGCAGTGGAATTTTTGGTATTTATGCAGTATGAGGCTTCAAGAAACACATGAATTCAACATGCTTCAACAATTTGGGTACGGATCAAATTTGGTCAAAGGAACACCAGAATTGGTATTAGCCATTTTGTGGAGAGGTTTAGTTTGATGCATACCTAAACCGCAGCAAGCCAGAAGCAGCAGAGTTTGACAAGCGGTTTCACATGTGAAATGACTTGACATGTTGGGGTTTTGTTGAACTGAATGGCTAACTTTTAAGTTGCAAATCGGTCGTTGGGATTCCGGTTTCATCTATAGAGGATACAGGACTTTGTTTAATCAGACAAGGAATCGTTTGAATGTGTTTCCTGTCGATATTTGCGCTGGCACATTTCGTAGTTTTTGGACAGACATTTTCCAAGGGTCCACCAAGACTGGTTCTCGGGTCACGGGCCGCACAAGAATTCCTGTGTGATCCAAAGTTTCCGCATTTGGGGCAACATTTTCTTTTGTTTTAGCCCCTTACTTTGAGGTCGCAGAAGTGGTCTGAGACATTTGGGTCAGTCATGGTCTGTCTGAAAATACCAGATGGGATATTAGTAGGATAAACCACCAAATTTGCCATTTGAATAGGGAAAGCGATGACAAACCACTAGATTCAAGAGTAACTCTATCATTTTTAGATATGCCAAACATATTTCGAGCACAGGACCAGAAGTTTCCTTAGAGTCGCACGCTGCGCGCAGGGTGCCATTGATTCCTTGTTTGAGTCCAACTGTGATTCGATGTGGCAGCAGGGATGCGCGATGATCCAGGAGATTCATCGGGTCTTGTGCCTCGGTTGAAGAAGATTTGGTATATTTCGATATATTTCATATAGGGGTCCAAACAGATGCCCACGATACCCCCGAAACAAACCTATAGGCTTATACAGGATGGGCCCCCCCAGTTATAACTGGGTTTATAATCCATTATAAGCCCTATTAACTATATATAGTTATATCTACCATAAAGCCACTTATAAGGCAACTTAGCTATCTTGGGGGCCCCATCCTGTAGGAGTGGTTCCAAGTTTTTTTGTCCGCACCTTAACTAGTCGACCACTCACCTTGGAGTTCGCATCGATGCTGGTACCGATATGTTGATCACCCCCTGCTGCCTTGGATTGCGCCAAAAGTGCTTCAGGAAACCAGGTGGAAAATATCTGGTGATCAGCAATGGCGGCATCGGAAGTGATGTGCTGAAGGCCACCTTTGGTCACATGCAGAGTGAGGAAATCGAAGGTTATGCCTGCGATTTGTACTACAAACTCATCACCATCATTGTGTGTACAAAGTGATTTCACATGGGCAGTGACTCAAAAACCTTGGCGTTGATGATCTGTGTCAGAGGCGATCTAGATCTTAAAATGGGTATGACCTCAAGCCTCAAAGATATAAATATATAATGGTATACAGTTTACCAGTATGCCCTTTTTATACGTTGAGCAGGATCATAGCTCATGAACTGGGAATCCCCATAACCATTATGTTGGTATTTCCCAAGTCCTCTTTTGGGATTTCCAAGCGGCTTTTGACACTGCTCATAGTTTGAAAATGTTGCGAAAAAATGCAGTTGTGACTGCCAAAAGCACTAGCTAGCTCATGCCATGTGACCCCGGCGCCCAAAAGTGGTGCTTGGGCATGGTGGAAAAAGTCACAGAGGGTGATGGCCGACATTCGATGTTTTCATTCATGGCAGCTTTGAAACCAAAAGAAACAACTTCCGGTTCACGTTTCCAATTTGAGGAAAACAGCAGGAGGGTTGAAACTAGAAACCAGGTTCCGACATTTAGGTGGAAGGACACAAAAACGTTGAAACAAAAGGGGCAACAATGGCACAAGTTGCGACAATCGTGACAAGCTGTGGCCCAGAAGACAGCTGGCGATGTCTGGGCATGACACTCTTCTTCAGAAGCTTCAGGAAGCACCTCATTATTTGACGGCAAATGATCATATATGTCATCCTGTTGACGAATACAGAGCTACAAGTTCAAAATCATTTTAAAACTTGAGAGATTGTCCAACTAGGCTTGGGACATTGACAGAAAAATCCTGCGGCCAGAGAACTAGTGACCGCAGATTGGCGCCATGGCCTTTATGACTTTGGATCTAAGCCTGCTGAGGTGGGTGAAGTTTTGCTTGATTCATGGCCACCTCTGTGAAGATCAGGAGCCTTGCGGGATAAGGGCCCAGTAGGGTAACAGGCTACCATTCAGCGTCACAGTGTATGAAAGACCTTCCCACCAGATCCAATGGCTCATGCCGAACCATCATTGACACTTTTTCTCAGGGCCAACACATTCGGTGCAGTAATCCTCTATGTTTGTGGATTTCTTCCATGGATAAAATTAAGTATGGGTTGGTATGGGTCGAAATCAACCCCCAAAATGGACTTATTCATGCTAAATTATAAATTATTGTGTGGTTGGAAGGTGCTGTTATTCATTAATCCCAAAAGATGGACTTGTTGTAAATGACATGCATTCTGGGTCCAAAACGGTGCTCCAAGTGGACCCAGACCCACCTGGCATTCCATCGTTGTCAGTTGTCACTATAGGTGTCTGAGTGTGATGGGCTCTCGCCATGTTTCAGCATTTGTAAGCAATGAATGTGGCCGGAAAGCGACAAGAGTCGGTGACGTTCGTGACACCAGTTTTGAAATCACATTGTTTGACACTTAGATCATTAAAATCTCCGCATCGTTGGTTGTGTTCCCTTGATATCCCAGTTGGAGCCCACTTCTGATTGGTTTCCTCCAGCGAAACCATCTGTGTCCACAGGAGTTGCCTCAGCAGAACCTTTCAACTTTTGAACATTTTTTTTTGAATCAACTGTTTTTGATCTTTCAACTTTTGAATCAACTTGTGTGTCGACTTTGTTTTTTTTAACCTTCAACTTTGGCATCAACTGTTTGGCAACTTTGGTGTCAACTTTAATTTCAACTTCAAGAGTACCTGTCTTAGCCAGGATTTTGTCATAAAACTGTGAAACTGTTTGCGTTTTCTGGTATTGTGACATAGAGCTGGCAGGTGGCTGGCGAAGATCCGTGCCACGCTGGCCTTCAAACTGCGCAGCTGGAGGGATGTAACGTGGCCTTTCCAAAGTGTGACGTGTGAATATCAGGCAAGATACGCTTACAGATACATGATGTTCTTGATTTGCACCAGGTCTTAGGATGTTGTGAGGTGTATTTCTTTTGTGCATCAGCTCTGCTTTGAAGAAGTGATAGGTGTATGGATTGTTTGAAGCAGTGTGGGTTTCTTCATGTTTAGGCCTTTGAGACACCATCAAGCCATGACTCGGTTTATTTCTACGGATGCGTTTCAATATCGGTTTTTCGGGGATGTTGGTATCGTTTATTGGTGTTTATTGAATGTGGTGACCGCCAGGTGTTCACATCGCGGTTGTTGCCTTTCAAAATATAGGGGGTTGCGTCTGGAAAGATACATGCAGTTTTGCCGTGCGCCTTTTTTGTCCGGCGTTCTTGTAATGAAAGCACCGGAGCTCTTTGAAGTGCATTGGAGGTTGGAAGCAATTAATTTGTTTCGACAGCGGTATAGGTAAAGATATGACAGTTATGCTATGTTTTCAGATTTTGGCTCAGTCAGTTTTTAACTTGATTGGCCTGCTACACCAGACAAGTTGAAGCATCCAGGAATCAACATTATGCGACAAACCCAAATAATTCAACATCCCCAAGTGGGGCTTATGTTGGGATAGCCCCAGCAAATAGGATTATGTAAAATGACCCACAATTTCGTAGTGAATGGGTTATTGTTTGTTATTGGAGCGGACCGTGTTGGCAAAGACGCCTGCGCACCTGGCACAGGAACTTGGCCAGACCTGCGACTGTAGAGTGCGCCAGGTAAAGTTTTCAGGAAAAAGCAGCCGGAGCATAGATGCTGCTCATGGACGATGTGTGTGGGGGATGTTGATCTTAAAATATCTTAAAATTGACAACCTGTTTTTTCCACATTTTTACTTTGCTTTGAGGATTCCGGAGTCAAATTGAGGCACACCATTCTTCAGCCAGTACTGTGTGCTGTTGCAGAAAAAATCGTGTTGAAAGACGTTGAGATTTGTGCCACTGCCGCATATCCACTGAGCATCACGTAAGAGACGATATGGAACAACTTTGATTTCAATATGTCAGCAATAGAAATTCTAACTATTTCAGCAGACATGTTTGACCATATTCAAAATTATAAGATGGAATGAAAGCGAAGCGGATAGCTTCGAATTGCTTAAAATTTGCATGTGTTGAAACTCTGCAGCCTGTTTTGTTGGCTTAGCCCAGCATGTTTATAAAGACTGTGTTCCATAGTGGCCAAACTCATGCCATTTTCGAAGCTGACTCAACATCGCTGGAAGAAGCTATGAGCAGACCACCAGTTCAAGTCACAAAGAAAATTAAGATCCATTCAGCGCAGGAGGCTTTTCATTCTGCAGCTGATCCACGGAAAGCGAATCAATAGAGTCATTGATACCAGCCGAGTCTACACGGGATTCCACAGCACCCACGTGAAAGGTTCAGCAGAAGGTAGTATTTGGGATACACTGGATTAGTTGTCCTTTCATATCAACATTCAGATCATATTTACATGATACTGAATAATCCAGCCATGTCTAAAAAATTGTCTCTTGGATCCTTGGTTCGCATTAGATGCCATGGGGCGGCTGCAGCACATGGTGAACTTACAGGAGCTGAGCATGTGGTAATCCGTCTTTGCATCATTGATGGCTGGTTGGTTGTTTCTAGGTGGGGGTGGTTAATCAATTACAATAAGATTTTTTTTACCAACAATGGATATTCGGTGAGCCAGTAGGATTGGGTTCAACATTTGGTCAGGTAGGGTTTATTGGTGTGCGGCATTGGTTCCACGCAAATGGTGATGCCAACCTTGAACACGCAATCTGAAGTATGATTGACGCATTTTTGATGTGAAACCCGTCCGGCCTAAGAGCCTTGTGAATCACCCGCAGGAAAGCTTGGGCGAATCAGCGACCTGGGTGTCATTTTTGGAGTCCAGGACTTTTGAAGTTTCACAAGGGCGGCCAAATCGAAACAACATTGGCTTTTGATGCTGGATTTTTGAACTTTTTCGGCAACATTCCAAGATATCATCATTTCAGGTTGTTAAAGGCGTCAATGAAGTTCGCGTTGGGCTACCATGGCTGCAGGTCGAGCGGATTGATTGTTTTGCAGCAGCAGCGAGGAAAAACAATATTATATACTGTATATATATATATACACACAGGATGGGGCCCCCTCAGTTATAAGTTTGTTTATATAGACCATCATAACCCCCGTTAACTAGTTCATTGTATCTACCAAAAGCCAATATATAGAATTCAGTCGCTTTTTGTAGGCAACTCAACGCTGACTTGGGGGTTCCATCCTGCATCACAAGGGCCAGATTCAATCAGGACGCCTTTGCAGCTTGGCGACGAGCTGCCAGCCGGTGTTTGCCAGCGCTTCTTCATCACGGATGGTTTGCACGATCTTGTTTTCGGCATTCCAGAGTGGTATCTCGGCAGAAAACAATAGGAATTCTTGGGTGCCAGAGTGGTTTTCATCACAATTCTGGGCGGAATTGTTCATGTCACATTTCTGTTCACAATAGATCCTTCCTTCCATTGTGGCTCTGGAATTCTTTACTGCAAGTTGGACGCTGAGAAAAACATGCGTTTTCGGTTAAGTCTCCTATCAACAATTTGTTTGTGGATGTGTGTGGTTTGTTTGGCGCACGCCCGGTTGCTCGTTGTCACCTTTGTGGTTGGTGTATCACTGGTTGCCAAGATCACACCCTTGAGAAACTCAGGGATACCGGACTTACTTACGTGTATCAACGTCGGGTATATCAATTTTGTGCTGGGGCTCTTGATGAAACCATTTTTTGGGGGCCAGTTCAGCCCAAAGTTTGATCAATTCATTCAGTTCAGTGGCATGGCTGCCTCGGGCATGAGGCGCCACTACAAATCTGAGTGGATGGCTGGACGGAAATCTGCTCCATTGGGTACCATGTCCCATGCGGACTACAGCGTCTTGCTGCAAGCACGGCGGCATTTCATGAAGGAGCCTCCAGGGGATGGTATGTGGGTCCACAATGGAAGTGGTTTCTCCTTTCCTCGACGCAACGGAGTTCAAAGTGTTTCTGGTACGGGTACTGGGGCCAGGCAACCTGTTCTTGTTGCTAGTCGAACTTGTAGAGTTTCATGGGTCCCATCCGATGCTGCTGTCCAATGGCACAGCGTCCACAGGCCAGGGAGCAGATGTACCTGGGCCTCATGCACGGTAAAGGATGCTTTGCAACTTCAGATTCCGCCGTGAGGATGATAGCTATGGATGGTTAAAATCAACTGGGATGATTCCTCTACAGGCCAATCTTTTGGGCCACATCTTGTGGGTTCGGAGTTGGATGGAGTTGTCAGCTGTTTAGCTTTTGTATCAATTGCAGACCACTCTTGCCGAGGTTGTTGAGGGACTACCACCCGAACTTGGCCGTGGAGCGAACAAAGCTGGCAAAGGAGCACACCATGACGGGTCTTAAAAAGCCGGAGCCAGATCTATCTGTTTGTAGGGCATTGCCAACGGTGAAAGATTGAACTTTTTTTTTCAATGCCGTCTTCGCTATGTGTATAGACATCATAAATAACTTAAGTTGTGATCAGGTACTTGGTCATCCAGTCTGGTGTTCCACTTGACAAGCTTCCCACCGAAACTATGGGAGGATCCAGCTGAGTTCTTCAAGACTGCAACGCCTCCTGTCGTCCTTCGGCAAGTTATTGAGTCTTGTGGCCAAACTTCCATATATAATGCCTTTGTTCAATGTAGTGTGTTCTTGTGTTATTGGCAAATAAGAGGAAGGACGAGACCCTTAAGCAGCATTTCACCAACCATCGCCCGTTACTTGTCATGTATACAAGGTGGTGCCCCCTCTAGTAAGAAACGGGTTATAATCCCATCAACTATCCCATAGGATCCATGTATGCTATATTTGGTAACATTTACCATCAATATACCCCAAATGTTAGCATATATACTATACATGGATCCTATGGGTATATATATATCACCTTGGAGTTATAAACCAACTTAGCTAACGAACTGCGGCACCACCTTGTACCGGCCCTGGGACAGGTCAAAGAGATTGAATCAGGCCCGGGGCCCCGGGCAAGAGCCGAGCGGTTTTGGTAAACGTATGCGGTGTGCATACAGTTATGGCCATTTATCAATTATAACTGGTTATAAATGGGATTATATATTCTATAAATGGGGTTATAAGTACTTATAACTGGTAAAGGGCCATAACTGTGATGGATCATGCCACGGATAGAAGGGCGGGTTATATCCCTACAGTTATGGCCCTTTACCAGTTATAAGTACCTATCACCCCATTTATAGAATAGTTAATCCCATTTATAACCAGTTATAATTGATAAATGGCCATAACTGTATTTTTTCAATGGGATAAGTAGGGTTAATCCACTAAAAAAACTGAGGTTATAGTTGTAATGCACTTCATAAAAACGATCCGTGGGATGAACCATCATATTTTGTGCTAGATGGCTGCAGGGCTGTCCCTGGTCAAGAAGGTCGTGGAACAGCAGAAGGGCGCCGAATTTGCTGCTCGGATGCCTCGATGGATGATTTCACCCTGTATCACAAAAAGGTTGATACTGATTGGTAGTTCCAGAAATTTGGTGCTGCTATGGTATAGTATCCGATTTTTGTTGGGGCATGTTGATTTTCTAGCTGCTTCCCCCCAGGATTTGCGACCTTCTTGCAAACATGTCTGGCGTTTGTGCCACTTTGGCGCGGGAATCCACGGGCCGAGGAAGACACCATCCAAGGGGTGGACTACGCCACGCGGCGCCGGCAGCTGCTGACGTTGGAGCAGATCCAAGCATTGGCGACGACGCTGAAGGACATGGCGAAGCATCTTGGAAGACCGGGCATCCACAGCTGGGAATATGATACCCTGTGGTAAACTAACATAGCTATTGAAAATTGCCATTTATAGTGGATTTACCCATCAAAAATAGTGATTTTCCATAGTTTTTTGTATGTTTACCAGAGGGTACTGTTCAACATGTTTCAAAATACCTCGGTTAGTTTTGGATCGTTTCACTGCCGGGCTTAATTATTGGGGATGATTATCACTAACCCAAAGTCATATACGGGTGCGAGTGGTAGTGTGGTAAGCCCAATTATTTTTAATCATCCCCAACTTCACCGGAATTTTGTGGTATAAACATGTACAAACGTTCCAAGACGAATGGTTTATTAGTCATTACTAGTCGGTTTACCGCATGAACTTCCGTGTTTTTAACATCCAAATATCATGGATAACCAATGGAAAGTGTAGGAAAGATATTTTTTAGAAACAATAACTGTACGAAAGTCACATGGTTTCTAAATAACCATCAAATAATCAGTTATTTCGAAACAATGTGACTTTTTTGGCACCTCAGATGACTGATTAAACTTAAGAGGTGAGCCACCACTCCCTGGGAAAATCACGTGTGGATCCATGTGGGCGTTGAACAACTAACTCTGTGGCAGGGTGGCCAACAAGTTTTAGGTGCAGTTGTTTTGGAATGTGGGAACGTTGCATTTTCTTGCGGGATGCGTCATCACTCAAAGCAAAAAAGGGATACGCAACCACGACTTTGGTGAAATCTGAAACCGGGGAAGATTTTGGATATCTGACAGTACAACAGTTGAGATGTTGCATATCTGGATGCCTCGGCCACGATTCAAAACTTTAAGGATGCCTCAGATGGGGTTCCAAACTTGAAGGAATTGAGTTTGAATTGAATTTCATTGTGTTCTCGGATTCAACCATGCAAACATATATTGATTATTGGACATAGTTCAACCATGGTCGGACCCACGTTTCCTAATGAAAACCGGTTCCAGCCTTTACCCAACCAAGGCAATGCGCTGCAGGCTCAAAAGAGCTGCTGCGGGCAGCCTGAGTTTGGAGCTGAAAAAATGGCGCGTGAGAACTTGCGCGTGTCATGAGCCCAAACCTGCTGGGTAAATTTTGGTTCGGTCGCCCAGCGAATACCAAAAAAGTCACCATTTTTAGGCCCTAATCATGGTGAATAAGGTTAGTATTATTCAGCGGAAAGGCATTTTTTTGGTTGAACCACGCACGTTTGGCCATATGGATGTTTTTTTCTGAATGTGTCTGAAAATTGGGTACCATGTGCCCCCAATGGACTAACGGACTGGAAAATGGAGGATTCCCATGAATTCCAAGCCAAGTTCGGGCCATCCCGTTTTTTGGACGAAGTCATTGCATGACATTTCCTGGAGCGCCACTAGATCTGAGCCATCCTGAGCCATTTTGTTTCGTTTTGTTCGGTCCACTGTTTTGAATTGCACCTGTCTTCTTGTTGAAGCAGCTCCACCTATACCTAATTTTCTTTATATAGTTTTCTTCCAGTTGGGGATGTCTGTTTAAAACTTAAAACGCGTTCAAACCACAAAATTTCAGGGTCCCAATGTTTGGAAACATCCTGAGGAGACGTCGCTATTTGAAGATTGAGCTACATCCAAGTTATTTGTCTTGTCCTCTCAGAGCAAAGGCTCAAGTACCGTGCTGCAAAGCAGTCGCTTCGGTTCCCCTTCCGGAAAGTTCCAAATTCAGCAGCCCACAGCTGCAGATGGGCTAACCCTTGATCCCCACCAGAAACAACTCAAAAGCACATGCACAAAAAGGCGCATGAAGTTGCTTAGAAGTAGTTAGCCAATCCATGTCAAATCCAAAACTTCCAAGTCCAAATGCAAACCAAGCACTCGATATTCCAAATGTCCAAGTCAAATCCAAACACAAAAGAGGCAAACTAGTTGAAATTCGTTGGTGCCTTTTTTCACTCTTGGTCCCACTCAGCGATCTCTCGATGAAGCGACAACTCCGCTGATCACCAGGCTTTGAATCATGGGAATTTATAAAAAGCGACCATCATGGGATGTCCAACTAGCAACAATGAGATGATCCTCAAGTAAAAGGAGAGTTACCGATTGCAAGTAAGAACCAAAGCTTTTGACTGTATCTTCTATACTTTTGGTGATCTGAAAGGCTGTCATATGCCACCTAGTAACGATCAAAATTGAACTGCCAGAAAGCCTCTTTTGGTTACCATTCTTGTTATTCATCCGTTCTTGGGGGTTTTTGAAATTTGACCCACACCCAAATGATTGCCAGGGCCTGTGCCAGAAGCCAAGAACTTGCAATGGAAGGCCCAGATGTGGTGCACGACGGGATCACCAAGGAGATCCCCAAAGTGGTTTCAATATGGCGAGCAGGTATATCCCCATGACATGGAAAGTTGGGGCATTTTCTATAGGGAAACAGTATAGGTAAATTATGGACTTTATTTGGGAGGCCTTAACTACCATAGTTGCCCTTCTGTTTGCTTTCTGTGCCCAGTAGTAGCGCCCGCTTTGTCGGTTGGAGAGGCCGTGCCAGCAACTTCAAGAAGGTGCTTTGATGTGATGGATTTGGCGAATTTGGTGATAATCCATCACCCTAATATTAAACATCCATAAATGGTCCCACTTCTGTGGAAATTCCCTACTAAACCATGGTTTCAAAAGGGATGTTTAATTTTAGGGGGAAGGGATTAGTTTTCATTTCCTGCGGAGGGAACATATTCCAAAAAAATATCGACCTGAATTGGTGGACCCTGTGGTAAACTAACATAACTATGGAAAATCACAATTTTAAATGGGAAATTCCACATAAATGAGCCATTTCCCATAGCTATGTTAGCCATTACCAGAGGGTAATAATGCTTACTTGCCTGTTTTTTGTGGGTAGAAACTGGCCCTGGGTTTGGCCAATCCAATGCCACATCAACATCCCGCTGATGTTTCATTGTTTCTGTTTTTCCAACAGTATCCTGGTTGGTGTTTTTTTATGTTGCTGATGATCACCCAAAGATGTCTGGTTGGTGGTTTTAACCGTCTTGAAAAATATGAAAGTCAATGGGAAGGATTATCCCATATATGAAATGGAAAATAAAAAATGTTTCAAACCACCAACTATCACGTTTTCTTATTTCTTTTTGCAATTGTGTCTGGGTTGAAAAAAGCCTCAGCCACTTTCATTGGAAGCTTGCATCCTATGTATTGACATGTATTGCCATATTCTTGAGGCCCTGGACACCCAATCCTATCTTTCTGATGTTGATATCTTATTAATGCTTCACTTTGTTGATGTCCAAGCAGGTTTCCCGTCATATTCCGTTGACTATTGCAGTATTCTTGGAATGAGCTGACGTTGCCCAGGTCAATGTTAGCAAGATCCAGGTTTAGATATCGCATTCTGGATTGTATTAACCTGATTTCAACAAGAGTGATACCCTCTGGTAAACTAACATAACTATGGAAAGATCCACCATTTTTCATGGGAAAATCCACATGGCCATTTTCAATAGCTATGTTAGTCATTACCAGGCCGGGTAAATCTGATGGGTTTTGCAGCACAAAATGAAATCGTCCCACTACATCCCGGGAAAAGCTGAGTTTTTTGGGTTGCCAGGAAAAAGCATTATTGAATGAATAAATGACATTTGATTGGTTTGGGTCATTTATTGATAGTTTCTGATTTTGGAAGGGTCCTACCTATTGAAAGGAGTCATACCCAAATTTTTGGTCTTTGATTGGTTTGTGGGATTTCTGAAGATTTAATAAATGACGATGTATGGATTCTACTGTTGGTTTCTACCCCAATAATGGGAGCCCCCATTTATTATGTAATGAATCATCTTTAAAATTTGATCAGTATGAACGTTGAATCATTACAATAGTCAGAGGGTGTACGGTGTAAGTGTACTTGTTTTTCTTTCGGTGCATTTACAATTTTTCACATGATAAAAACATTGGGTGTAGCGGTCAAATTTAATCTCCATCTGGGACTCTGGGATTTTTGAATTCCAGTGTGAGCACTCTTTTTTCGATGGTTTGATATTGCTGCTATCTCATTTGTCATCGTCGCCATCATCATCATGAAACGTTTCGTCTTCGATGTATGAGCCCGCAATTAAGGATGTTTCAATCCACATGATTTCTGCTGCAAAGCTTTCGATTCTGACAATTGAATCCACATGTTCGATATTTTGACGGTCAAAATTGAAGCAACATGTTTCTGTTTGATGGTAAAACCAGCAATTTGGAGAGATCCGCCCTCATTGTTGATGATTAACCATTGACTTTGATGAAAATCAAGTTCGATAATTGAATCCACCAGGTTTGATGATTTACCCCTGATGTTCAGTTGCCACAACCAGTAATTTTCATGGTAAAATCAGTGTTTTCGATTTTCGATGAGTCAAACAAAACCAAATCGAGGGTTTCATCCTGGCTTCAATGGTTAAAGCATTGTTCAACCAATTTCAAACATTGAAGAGTTTCAAATATTAAACAACATTACTGTTAACACATTGTTAACATGTTCTTGTTGGTTTAAAAAAATGCTTTTAACATGTTAAAACCAGCAAAGCTCTTCATGTCATCCCCCCAGCCCCACACCTTTTCCGTTTTAGGTCCTGGTGGACTTCGAGTCTCGCTTGCCCTCTGCAGACTTCGTGGCCATCGACACGGAACTCACCGGAGTCGACTTGGAGGATCTGAATTCTCGACGACGACGACGGATGGGTGGAACGATGCATGGAACTTATATAGCGGTTAATGTCAACCCCGGATTAATAAACCATAGTCTATCAATTCGGGGTACTTCCCCCACAATCACAATCTGATACTTAAATGATACCCCCCACTAGAAAAGCTTAAGGTTTTATTCATCCAGGGTTGACATTATAGATTTTTGGAATGTATGATTATAATATGGAACAACCATGCTATAGCGATTTTATTAGTATATGTTATTAGCAGGCTGTATGGGAGCAACCACCCCGACATTTTGTTGTGATTACTTGGTGATTCTAACGAATGATGACAGAATTTTATATTTATTACGGATGATTTTAGTGGTTTCTGTAGTCTTTTAGATTATAACGATGATGTAGTGGCTATAGTGATCTTATAGTGATTATCAACCCCAAAATATAAACACACTAAAATCTTGGTTTTGTTGGAAATGATGTGTATTTCGCAATGGGAAATCGTTCACTTGGGATCTATGGGGAATATGTTTAACTGTTTGGGGGTACCTGAAGCAAATCCAATAAATAGATATACAAATTGCAAACCTGGAAACCTGAAGTAAAATATCATCAAATTCATTGCCTGGTAACACTTACCAGCATCTTATTGGTAATGTTTTAAACACTGACTCAGACACTTACCCTCTGGTGATTTAACGTAGCTATGGAAAATCACCTTTTTTATGGGCAAATCATCAAAAATCATCATAAATCATCATAAATCATCTTTTTCTATAGGCCATCTATACCATAGCTATGTTAAATAACCAGAGGGTATAAACATATGATTTAATGGTTCACCTTGTTTACCCAGTTTGGGACTTACTGATATTTTACATGGGGTGTACTAAACGACCCAGGTGTGGATAAAGGGTGTAGCCTAAAGGGGAAATTGCAATATTGATGATGCATCAGTTTTTTGGTATGGATAATTTTCCGTTTCAATCATAATTGAAAGTTGTACCATATTGTACCATATTGTCCATATTTGTACAATGTGTGACATACCATATGGACATATGTTTGAGAATGTTTGGTACAAATATGGTATGGATGATTAATCCTTTTCAAACTATGTTTTGGGTGGGTATGTCAGATATGGTACATCAACTTTTGGGATACCCTATCTTTGGACAAACCTACACAAAACCATAGTTGGTTTCCCCATACAGCCTGTATATTTTCTCTACTTGTACCTTTATTTTGTTGTTAGTACAACACACTGGATTTTTCTAGCGTGTTTTATTGCTTTTAACTTTTAACGTATGAACAAGATTATGTTGCGGGTAGTAGAAATAATACCTGAAAAATGTGGGTCCGGGTTACTCTGGTGATTCTTGTTGTTTTTAGTTACTTTGCAAACAAATGTGACTTTGCTGGTGCAAGTTTGGGGGTTATTCCAAAAAATCGGAAAACATGATGCCACCTGAAATCTAAACCTGCCCTTTTGATGGAACATCTTTACAGAATCTATCATGTCTTCATGCTTTCCCAAAAACCATGGGCGATTCTCAGGGCCAAACTGTTAGTTGGCGGGGTAATATACGTATAATATAAATCTGCTCAACGTTCAATCTTCCCCGTAGTTGTTTTGCATAAGTGACACGTATTTTGAGTAAAAACAGTGTGTTACTACAATGCTCCTACGAATCAATCCATTGAGTGTCCCTTTTGTTCATGAAAAAATCCAGCATTTCTATGTTGTTTGAATGAAACATCCACCAGTTCTACAATTGTGAGCCTAAATAGATCTAAATAGCTAAGTTGGTTTTCAACTCCAATAACTTTGGTTTATGATACTTATAACGGGGTTCATCAAACATCCTTTACTACCTACCAGTTGTAGGTTGTTTCTTTTGGGCTCCATTGCAGGGAGAGATGGATTCCTTCGATGATACCGCGATGGTGCGTTTGGATCGCAACTGTCGCATCGCGGAACGGTCACTTTGGCGAAGCAGTGGAGGCAGAAGGTCACCGTCCTCTGCCAACTATGGGTTTTCCATGGTTTTCCAGATCTATTATCAGTTTACTAGAGGGTAGCCAACCAAAATGTGTGTTGTTTTCCTCAAAAATAATGGGAATGGGTAGCAAGGTGCAAATTCCACCATCGAACACGCGGATTTCACTACTAAGACTTAGTAACTTCCAACCAAAATGGAATGTTACCGGGAAAACCCTGCTAGAAGAGCGGTACATTACTACAATGAAAGCATGTTGGTGGTTTTGGGTGTTCTGAGTATTGCTTGGGAACCATTTACATGGCCATAATATTTGCTCACATGTCTCTGATTGTTGCCTTTGTTGTTAGTGTGCATCCCAATTCTGCGAGGATTACATCCATTGTCATAATTCCATTCTCTCAATGGATTGGTTTTGTTGGGAAAATCTTAACCGGAAACCATAGATTTTCCCATTAAATCTGGGTTTTCCTGTAAATTTTCCCTGAAACCAATCCATTGATTCTGTGGAGACCGATCTTTGCACAGCTGATTGGCTGGTGATGACTTGCAGGTCTCCACACTGGTGACCCATCCATGCAGAACTCAAAACGCCATCCGTCTATAACTGGTTGGTGGTTTGGAACATGTTTTTTTTATTTTCCATTCAGTTGGGAATAATCATCCCAGCTGACTTTCATATTTTTCAGAGGGGTAGGTCAACCACCAACCATCTATAACTTTCAGATTGGTAGTCAGAACCTTGGTACCTTGGGGACCCCAATGATTGCGTGTAAATGGATGTTCTTCCCTTCAACATATGGCACGCTAATTGCATGTTTTGAATTGTTTCGATCCATTTCCATATCATTTTGAACCATGTCCCCGTATCTATTCATCAAACGCCACATGTCCAAAAGAAAACACCTTGACTCAAAATTGCGGGTGCACCAGCAAAAGAACGGCCATGACCAGGTCGAGTGGGACACTTTCAGCTATTTCAGCTAGTTCTTCATGTTCAACCATAAAGAAAAGGATGGGGAACTCATATTTTTTACGGGGATGGCTCAACCACCACCCATGGGTTCATACAAATTCCATGATGATCCTCAATGACTTTCCCATTTTTCACTGGGAGTGGCTCAGAACCCACCAGCCAGTTATACTCTCCTTTGAACTCAGGGGTTTGGTAAAAGTCCCATTTTGGGGCTTTTGAACATCACTTTCAAGTATCTGTTGGAGATTATATCACCAATATTTGGATGATGTTCAATTAGGACATTTACCAGTGGCAATTTCGGTTCCGGGTCCCGGACAGCTCCGAGGTATTCACTCATTCAGCTTGGCCTGACTTTGGTGAGTTTGGGCCCCGGGGGTTTTACATATGGATTGCACCAACTCAGTACAAGATTTGGTGACTAACGAAAGTGTTGATTTTACCAAATCTGAGAAACGAGTGTTAAGAGTATTATAATAGTAATTCCATCCTTATTCGCCAAATCTGGGAAATCAGGACAAGGACTGATTATTGTTTCTTTCCAAGGCAGTTTGGCAATATTCACAAGTAACGATTCCTCTGTTCGAGAAGTACAATGGTCCACTGTGATGTTGTATTTTTTGGTAAGTGCACCCCAACTGAGGAATCTCCTGGGAATATTATGATCTTGTTCTGGGCCATCCGAAACAAATCCAAGACTTACAGTGATCAAGAGATAAGGTTAAACAATTCATTTGTATAACTTTGATGTTCATCTTATCACGTGTAAACAACTATACTGTCATTAGATGCTTTGATATTTGCATGGGAATGGGTGCAGAATTGAGGTACCACAGATTTGATGGTCATTTTCAGGCCAAATGAAGGTACACACCATGCGGCCCCAAAACGCCCAATGTGGTAGTTGGTTTACCAAACTCACTAACCAGTTCGTTATATTCACCAACAAGATATAAATACATCATAAATTATTATCAGTTATTATTAACTAAGTAGAACTAAATAACCAACCCCTAATCAACTTAAATCATAGAAGTCACCAAGTCATAAATTAACTTAGCTCTCGTAAACGGGGGCCCCGCCTGATAGATATGGGAAAGGATCAGTTTCATGACTGAAATGTATACAGGCTTGGCACGGCTTGGGTGAAGAAATTATGTAGAACCCTGCAGCCTTTTGCGCATACTTGTACAGCTACGTGTTCTGGAGCAGAGTAATTTGTACAGAGAGGTGTGTTATGTGGATGCATTTGGATTTTTATAGATTTAGAATTGCGTGATAGATTGGTAAACCAGCTGGACCAATGAAGAGCCACAAACAATTGATTTATGATTTATGTATGTATAAATCTTTGATACACATATCTGTTCCAGCTGATTTCCTACTCCCTTCACCACAGGAAGGCCCCTCCCAAAACTTAAAGTTTTTTTTTTCACTTTTTGAAGCCCCTAATTAGTCCGTTATATCCATCATAAATCTTGGTTATTATAGTTATAGTCCGACATTACCCATCATAAACCGACTAGTTCACCAGCTTAATATATATATAATATCAAGTTTAATCATGTTCAATCAATCAATCCCCTTTTTTCCACTTATATACTGATACTGAGTTTAATCATGTTTTATTATGTGTTCCCATTTTTTGATCCCCTTGTAATTTCGCATTGCCAACGTTTGTTTTGGTGGGCTTTGCAAGCCTCACAGCTTGCCCATTCGCATCCCTAGGTCAAGAACGAACAGGCCGCGAGGAGATTCTGAACTTCGTCAGCTACAACCTCTTTGCCTTCCCCTACGCCTGGGAAGCCCAGAGAGATCTCGGAAGTTCTGCGATGTTTTTTGTTCCGTAATCTGAAAGATCAAGCATTGATCAGCAAGGATTGATGTTGATATATGTTCCTTTGGAAAAAGAACATAAAACATGCAATCTTTCCATAATCTCGATTTTCTGGTGAAGTTACAGCCAAATTCAATGTTGGGACTTTCCCATCATATGAAGGTCGTGATTTTCAAATTTCAAACTTTGGATGTTCTGGTGACCAGAAGGTATGCATGTTTTGGATTGTTTGATTTCAAGGATCAACGGAGGAGATGAAATGTTTGCACAGGAGGCGATTCAAAGTTGTTCGTTGGTAAAAAGGTTCGATTGGGGCAAGTACCTTTCTAAGTGTTGTTAGTTGTTGAGCTAGCTGAACTGCATGAAATATTTTTTTTTGCATTTAGGTTATTGAACTGTTTGTTGTTAGTTGATATTTCAGAATGATTCAGAGACGCTTCGCTTTCGCTCATGTTGGTATCTTTTTTGGGATGGTTGCTAATATGCATTGATAGTATTTATCCAGGATGTGGGAAATAACTTACTCGCAAAAAACTCCAAATCATAATCAAAAGCGAAAGTAGTTCAAAGAATTTTCAACGGGAAAAACTCCCTAGTTGGCACCAGTTGCAATTCAATAGAACATATCAAACATATCGTATTGCGAAGTATGTCAATATTATACCATTGGAATGGTGCGAATCAAAAAACATACAAACTTCAAACATTGGGCTGTTACCATGATGAAATGGGTAGTATGACCTGTAACTGTTGTTGACATGTTGATGGTTCCATCCTAAAAATGGGATCAATGGCCGAATTCCCAGTTGTGATATCCCTACAATATCCTTCTGGCTGCCTCCAGTTTATGCCATTGAAATACCCATGGATGCCACTTTCTGCATTTGTGTGTGTGACTCCACCATCAATCATCAAAGTTATCAAGTATTAATCAGTTGAACAAGAATATGTTGGTCAAGGCACATCATTTGCAGGTGTCCTACATGGGGGTACCCCAAATTCGTCAATTTTTAAGAGGAATTTCCATTATGAACGCCATCCAGCGATTGAGGATCCCTTATTTATGGAAAAACCTCCGTTTATTCAGGGATTTAAAAAGGTTGACATCTTTGATAAATGGGTGAATGATGGGTGTTCCCAATTAGTCTTCCCGAATCTGCGCGGCTTTTTTTCACGTATCTTCCACCGCCATGGCGACCGAGGCTGGGAATGACTTGATTGGCAGGGACCAGGGCTTCTTCTGCCAGGTGAGGAGAGAAAACAGTGAGAGAAAACAGCGGGGAGACGATGAAAACTCAGGATTTGACCATGATTTGTTTGTAAAAAATCAGGATTTGACCTTCAAAAAACCGAGAATCACTAGAATGATCATGAAAATCATGAAATTTTTCGTGTAAGTGGATCAATCTCTCATTTCTATGGCGCTGTAGAAACTTGATTAATTTTGGTCTCCGGTCTCCGCGCAGCTTGCGCCATGATTTTTCAGGCCTCGGCTTTGCAGTTCAACGCACAACACAATGTGGATTTCAACACTTGGATTAAAGATGGTATTCCCTACATGAGCAGAGAGGACCGGATCAACTTGGTGGATTTGTCTCCGATCAAGCTGGGTTGCGTCAATGGGTTTTTATGGATGATTTTGAGTAAAGAAAAATCGAATGATGGATGATTACTCATTTTTCTGACTAAAGAATTTTGGGGGATTACTCAATCTTGGGTGATTACTCATTTGATTTTACTCAATATTTGGATGATTTCTCAGTTTTTTGGGTCAATGGCAATTCTCGGAATTTCCCCACCAAATCTTTTCATTTTTTGTAACATGGGGACGCCTGAGGATAGGATGGAAGAAGACTGTGATCTCCCATGGACCCTTTGGGATCCTTTTTTGGGCGCACCGCTGGCTGTATTTGATTTTTTGGGATCTGAAACCACCCATAGTCGCTCAGTTTGGGTCTTTGTCATTGTTTTTTGTATGAAACCGTTCGCTTTGTTCTTTTTTGGTGTTATAGTCGATATTGACAGCTATACTATACCAAAGTCATGTTGCCACACGTGTTTATGTTTTGGGTGTGTTTTGTAAGCACATGTAAAAATGTTAACAGACAACCAGATGGTGTTTCAGGGTCTGGTTTCTGTGCTTCAATCTCTAGCAGGAAAGACTTCTTCATTTTGGTGCAGGAAAGATTTGTTGGTTGTTGGTAAAATTCGGCGGGGAAGATTTCGTCAGGATGAATCATGTGGATTGATTCAGATTGTTTTCTGTTATTCAATCTCTAGCGGAAATCATGTGAATGAAGGCCAAAAGCCCTGTAACTTGTTTTTTCACAATATGTCAAAGCTGGGAATCATCCACAATATCTGCACAAATTATAGCGAGGACAGCCGAGGCAACGAGGCAGGTTGCAGGAATTAGCGAGGTCAGCCCTTAATTTGCTCATCAGAATTAGCCGACCTCGACGAGGTAGCCTTGCATTGGTTCTGTTGCATGCTTGGGTTTGGCTAGAAAAACTTTTTTGGGGGCCAGAGGCCGGTCAGCAGGCAAGGAAGAAAAAAAAACTTTTCAGGCCCCAAAAAGTTTTATTTTCTATCGCCAGAGGCCGGTCAGCAGGCAAGGAAGGAAAAAAAACTTTTCAGGCCCCAAAAAGTTTTTATTTTCTATCGCCAGAGGCCGGTCAGCAGGCAAGGAAGGAAAAACAACTTTTCAGGCCCCAAAAAGTTTTATTTTCTATCGCCAGAGGCCGGTCAGCAGGCAAGGAAGGAAAAAAAACTTTTCAGGCCCCAAAAAGTTTTATTTTCTATCGCCAGAGGCCGGTCAGCAGGCAAGGAAGGAAAAAAAACTTTTCAGGCCCCAAAAAGTTTTATTTTCTATCGCCAGAGGCCGGTCAGCAGGCAAGGAAGGAAAAAAAACTTTTCAGGCCCCAAAAAGTTTTATCTTCTATCGCCAGAGGCCGGTCAGCAGGCAAGGAAGGAAAAACAACTTTTCAGGCCCCAAAAAGTTTTTTTTCTATCGCCAGAGGCCGGTCAGCAGGCAAGGAAGGAAAAAAAAAAATAAGGCCCCAAAAAGTTTTATTTTCTATCGCCAGAGGCCGGTCAGCAGGCAAGGAAGGAAAAAAACTTTTCAGGCCCCAAAGAGTTTTATTTTCTATCGCCAGAGGCCGGTCAGCAGGCAAGGAAGGAAAAACAACTTTTCAGGCCCCAAAAAGTTTTATTTTCTATCGCCAGAGGCCCGCTTCGTGGGTTGATGGCTGCAGAAGCAGTAGGATTCAGAGTTGCTCCAGAAGAGCATTGCATCTCTGCGATAATGTCAGAGATGTCACCACCCAAGCGCAAGAAGCGCAAAGACCGATCAGACTCAGATTTAAAAATCCCTGCAAGAGACCGTGGATCGTGGAAAAAAACTTTTTGGAAGCTGAACAGTTTTTTTCCTTGGGGTTGGACCCTGGAAAGAAGGCCCACAAGCTACTTTCTTCCTTCGAATTAACGAGGTAAAGCCTTAATTTGCACCTGCAAATTAACGAACGAGGACGGTAATCATGGGAAACAAATTAAGACACGAGGGAGACGAGGTAAGAATTAAAGTAATTTGGCCAGACAATATGTCAGACACACCCCAACATCATCTCGGCGGTCTGATTTTCAAATCTACCAGACATCTCACCATATCCTACTTGGTTTACATCCCATTGGCTCGTTTATCCCAAACATATCAACTAATCCCCACATTTTCAGTCCAACCCATGTGGTGAATCATCTATGGTCAATTATCATTGTGGTGGATATTCCATGGATTATTGCATGGTATTCCATGATACAAGGTGGTGCCCCATAGTTAGCTAAGTTGGTTTATAACTCCAATAACTATGGTTTCTGGTACTTATAACTATAGTTAATGGGGTTTATAAACCAACTTATAACTGGGGGGCACCACCTTGTATTCCATGTTTTTTACCATGAATTTCCATCGATTTTGACCCATCCCACCCCAGCATGGACCAGGATGAAAGGCGCTTCAAGAAGTATTATGCCAGAGCTGAAGAGAAGGACTGGATCTTTGAAAATCTACCCTCTGGTAAACTAACCCAAATGCTCCATGTATGGAATATTTACCAACATTTACCCCATAAATCACCCAAATGTAGGTAAATATACCATACATGGAGCATTTGGGTAATATAATGTAACCCATGTATGCTATATATGGTAACATGGATCCCATCAATATACCCCCAATGCATATATACCATACATGGATCCTATGGGTAATGGAAAATCACATTAACTAGTTCGATATGGCTATGGATCAATACCTATTAATACCATTTTTAGGGGGATGAACATCCATTTACCAGCTATTTTGATGTGAACTACAGGGGCACAAGGTTTTGACCCATTCCCATATAATGGAGAATCACCGTGTTTTTTTTGGGTAAATCAAAGAACTACTAAATGGCCACCAGTACTTGGTGGATCATCCCACGGATTGTGTTTGTAGATTAGTTCACCCTAGTTTTTTCAGTGGCATACCCGGCCTGGTAAACTAACATAACTATGGAAAGATCCACTATTTTTCATGGGAAAATTCACTATTTCTATGGTGTTTTCCCATAGTTTTGTGTATGTTTACCAGTGGCATAAGCAGGGTTGATCCATTTAGAAGCAGGGTGATGATCAGCCTACAAACACGATCCGTGGAGATGATCCACCAATTATCCCCATTCAATAGGACTTTGATTCTAATAGCATTGACAGTACCCTCTGGTTATGTCAAAATAGCTATTGAAAATGGCCATTTATAGTGAGTTTTCCCATAAAAAAATGGCGATTTTCCATAGTTTTTTGTATGTTTACCAGAGGGTAACGATAATCAATCTGTAAACAAACAATTCGAAAATACTGATATTGACACAAATATTGGAGATGTAAGTTTCGGATTTAAGATGATTTAACCACTTGAAGCATCAATATTTGGTCAGATTATAAGGTTGAACCGCAAAAAATAGGGAATCCCGCATCCAAAAAAACATGTAATTACCATGCCATGTAATTTCCCAATCAATCTTCATATATTCATGTTCTTCTTTACTCGATTACCATTTTATGGCTCAATTTTCAGACATACATGGTTGGTCATACCACCTCCGATGAAATATCCCCATACCATATTCCCATAGAGTATTTCCCTAGAATATTTAAATCGCTTAAAGTGAGATTCAATAATAACTATATATATATATAATATATAGAGAGGCAGAGTTCTATACTATTACAGGCTATAGATGTATATTACTGAAACATTAAAAAATATATCCCCATAGTTACACCCTCATGATCTTCTAACTATATCAAAGATATAATTCCTTCCCCAGTTTAGTTTTTTAGATATATGACATAGATACATACAACACTCTCGTTTCCCCTATTCAAACTGTTTTCATCGTTCTACTTGGCTCATCCCACTTATTGTAAGTAGGTTAATTCACCCTAGTGATAAATGGGCTAAGGTTGATTAACTCAGTTATAAAACTAGTTATAACTGGGCTAGTCATAACTAGGGTGAACTCACCTACTGACTAATTCCTGGGATGAGTTTTTTTCCACATCCCATTGTTTTAATATAGATTATTTTTATAATTATAATGGACATATTATGTTTAGACTTAAATTATGTATTTTAACATGTGGATACATATATATATACATATATATATATATATTTATTTATATTTATATTATCAAAGTATCCGATGAATGTGGATTATATATATATAAGGATACATTAACATTATATATATAACTATATATATATGTTTATTGAATGTGGATGCATTATGTGACACTATATAATGAATCCTGTAATTAGTGTTGTAGATCTAATGTAGCTTTTGTTTGGAACTGTTCAATGTAGATATAATGTAGGTTATCATGTGGATACATGATGTTTTTTGTTTCACACCATATAGTGGATCCTATAATTAAAAACCATCTTATTTGATGGTACAAAAACATGGTTTCCGGTTAAGATGTTCCCTTAAACCAATCCATTCACTATATACTGTAGATTATCATGTGGATACATTCACTATTATTTGGCACATAATAGTAGATGATATAATGTGCAGTATATGTAGATTAACTGTAATCCACTTATGTAAATCATACTTTGGATATGTCCATTCAAACTCCATTAATATTGCTTAGTACCCACATTGTATCCCCATTGATACAGGATGGCCCCCCCCCCGTTATAAGCTGGTTCAAAAACCATTATAACCCCCAGTAACTATAGTTATATCTACCATAAACCATGATTAAGCCACTTATCGGGTAACTTAGAAATCTTGGGGGACCATCCTGTATATACCGGATTTGACACGACACGCCGAAGGCGGGTTTGCTTAAACTCTGGAAATCTCTCTGTCAGCGGCAGCTTCCCTTCGCGTGGGCGCCCAGCGATAAAGACTCGGGGTTTTCTCAACCGTGGTGGGGGTGTCAAAACAACGATGGAGCTTTAATATTAATGTTTGTAGTGGGATATAAATAATGTTGGTTTAATGGTTTATATGAAATGATTATATTAGTCGTTTTTTAAATATGAATAATAATTGGATAGTAATGTCATGAGTGGAAGATCACGAGGATAATAATGGAAATTTGGTTAGCAGCTTGCAGTTTACACATGGCTAGCTGGAGAATCCACAAAACGGAGGTTTTTACAGGGAAAATCATTCCCAAAATTGGTGGATCTTTCAGTGCCAGGTTTGATAACCAGAGGATAAGTCATTAATAAACCTGGTTGGTGGTTTCAATTATTTTAATTCATAATATATGGGATAATCCTTCCCATTGACTATTTTTAAAGATGGTTAAAGCCACCAACCAGTAAATGATTGTAAAGTAGTAAGCATTTTGGTTACCTGGGTTTGTGTAAGGTGTTTTTTTTTCCAATGGACAATCCACCATTTGGGGAATCTATAGTGCTTGTTTTGTTTAGGGGGGACCCCTTAAGCAAATCCAAGGTTAACAATGTTAAGACCCATCGTCAATGATTCATAAATAATAGACACAGTTATGAAGAATCAATAATGAATAAGTAATGACCCAGTCTGGTTAATCATTTCAGTAGTTGTTTTGGCATTGATTTATATGACCCTATGAATGTTGTGAATGAATAGTGTTAAGAATAGTCAACACTAATGAATAATTGTGGTTCATAGTCGTTTTTGATGATTACAATGAATGATTGTGAATGATAGTTATTGATGGTTAACAATTGTTACAAATGCCTCTTAATCGTTAAATAATGTTTTATTTTAGCAATGATCAATCATATTTGATATTATTTGATAATGAACAACACATAATGATTTATACTGGTTGCAATATGGTGAATAATGGTTATAGTATTTTTTGTCATGATGAACAACGCTTGTTATGTTGTAAAAATGAGGTATTTACCAATGAACCCTGCAATATAATTCTTCATTATCCGTAGTAAACCATCCAGTTTCCGCAAGTTTCGGTGATTGATAATTCTGACCCATACACGCGTTTTTGTTCTCATATTTCCAGGGATAAGTGAAACTATAAGCATACCCACCAAGTATGTTGGCTCTTGCAACCCATCCACCTACTTAAAAAGAGGATCAACATTTCATTTTTTTGAAATATAAGAGGTACCTATATATTTCATGGTCGAGGTACTGTGATCTATTTCAATACTTAAATGTCGTATATTTCATGGTGAATCTATGACATACGACAGCCTTTTCCGAGACACAGAATCCAAGTGACCCATTCATACCAACCATCATTAAGCACGATTAACCTTCGTTCACCCTTATTAAACATGTTGAAGCATCATTAAAACATAATCAACCTTCATTAGGCATTATTAAGCATCATATAAAAATCATTTATCATCATTTAACCATCATGAACCATCATTAAACCACCATTTACCATCATTTAACCATCATGAACCACGACGATAATGAAACATTTGCCCATCCTTCCTTCACATTCTTCCATTTCAGGTGGTCCACTGCCCTTTGGACCTCTTCTTCCTGCTGGCGACGTTCGAGCCGCTGAGCTTGTCCAACTCACTGACTTGCCACACTCGATTGCGAGATGGTAAGACCGTTAGAACATCACAGGTGTTTTTATGTTTCTAGATGGTAATATCATTGTATCAATGGTCTAGGATGCAAAACATCTAATGGTAAAACAACACATTCATAAATCACGTAGACATTCCATAAATGGGACCATAAGCACCAGCATAGCTGGTCTTTGGGCCATAAGTGTGCCATACAATTAAAACAATCGCCAATCACGGGCGCTTCACCATGTCTAGATGTTTTAACCATTAGATGTTTTCTTTCAAACCTGGGCTGGGAAAAGTGTTTGCTGTAGAACCATTGGTGTTTTTTCATTGGCAAAACATGGCAAAACCACCACGGACGACATCCCTGAAATCGTTGGTGTTCACTTGGCAAACGTGTGTTATCACGGTAAGATCAATATAGTTGTTGTTAGATAGTTGTTGCAGATATAACATAGAATCAAGCAGAGCCAAATACAACATAGCTACTATTATAATTCATACAGCCACTTGTGATTCACCAATATCTGGAACTGGCTGGTTACAATTCAAACCGTTCCCTGTCAGTGGTTTTAGAACAATACTGTACTTGGTTACATACATTTATTTTCGATTTTGTCTTGTCATTTCAGTGTTAGATTGGATGTTACTTTTTATTTCATATCATATGATATTTCATTAGAGAACGGTTTTGCCAATCACATTAGAATCATTGTTCGATAATCACATTCGATCGTCATATCCTATGCATAATTTCATCATTCAACATTGTATCTATGGTTTATAACATATATTTTATATTGCATGTGTAAATATACATATTTATATCTATACATTATAAATATATATATATAAATAAATATAAATTTTAATATATATATATATCTTATATTATATATATATGTTAAATATATATATATATGTATGTCAATGAGGTTAATCAATGGGTTGGGTAAAAGCACATTCTGAATGGCTTTTCCGGCTGTTCCTATCATAGGAACATGCCTTCATCGTCCTCAGGCGCCGACCGTTGCCACGCAACGACCCTCGGGCCATGGCGCAGATGATCAAACAGTGCACACCCAAGGCGCGGCCGCGGAAGTTGGGTCGAGTTCAGCCAAAAATGGCGTAGGTTCAGCATGAAAATGGGAGTTGGCCAATGTTCTACTTAGATGGGCCATGGAGTTAGTTAACCAGTTGGTAGATGGATTATTTCTTTGGGAGTGGGGGTTATAACCCCAGTGGCTGACCAGGAATCGCGTTTATTTATCCGATTTGGCCCATCTAAGTAGAGCAACCACATTTTCAATTGTAATTTGACATAGGGATTTAGGTAGTGGGATGACCACCAGGATTTTTTCGGAACATTGAGATGTTTATCACCGTCAAATCACCCTTAAGTCCCATTAAACCCCATTCGATCATTGCTTTCATAGATACACCATAAAATGTCATAAACACCATAGATCATGATACAAAACACCATGGATTATCATTGTTTTCGATCAATTATCGTCCCCATGAAATCCCCCAAAAAATTACCGAAGTCTCATTAGATCACAATTAAATCCCATAAAATCACCATAAATTCGGAGATTTCATTTGAGAATCACCATTCATCCCCATGAAATTCCATAAAATCACCATACAATCGCCATTTTTCAGATGGTACTCTCTGGTAATTTAACGTGGCTATTGGAACTGGCCATAGAAATAGTTGATTTATCCATTAAAAATGATAGATCTTTCCATCGTTTGTTAACGTTTACCAGAGGGTACATGTTTTTACCACCGTTTAAATGGTAATTTTAGATCAATGATCGTCCCGATGAAATCCCATAAAATCACTATAAAATGTTCATGTTTTCAGATGGCACCCTCTGGTAAACATACAAAAAACTATGGAAAGTCCATACATTTACTTTAATTCTGGTGATCCCCACCAGGGACATTTATACATTTTCTTCTGGACATCTTCTGCATTCTATTCTGACATATCTTCTGACATTCTATTTGGCATTCTATCTGGAGGCATATCTTTGGCACCACTGACATTTTATCTTCCTACTGAGGGTCGGAAGGGACACTGGCATGGATACCGGCGGTGTTGAGGTCCGGCAGGGAACACTGGGCGGGGATGGTCGTGGTTGAGGTCCGGCAGGGAACACTGTGCGTGGATGGTCGTGGTTGAGGTCCGGCAGGGAACACTGGGCGTGGATGGTCGTGGTTGAGGTCCGGCAGGGAACACTGGGCGGGGATACTCGCGGTTGAGGTCCGGCAGGGAGCACTGGGCGTGGATGGTCGTGGTTGAGGTCCGGCAGGGAACACTGGGCGGGGATGGTCGTGGTTGAGGTCCGGCAGGGAACACTGGGCGTGGATGGTCGTGGTTGAGGTCCGGCAGGGAACACTGTGGATCGCGAGTCGCCGTTGAGCAGGAGGACGAGGAGGATCAACGAGAGGAAGCGAGGACAACGAGAGGAGGAGGGAGAGAGGAGAGGAGGAGGAGGAGGAGGACGAGGAGGAGGAGGACGAGGAGGAGGAGGAGGACCAGGCAACTGACATAAAATCTAACAACCCTCACCTAGCAGGTGGGGAAATACTATACCTCACATTAAAATCCCATAAGATCACATTAAAATCCCATTAAATCATCTGGGTTGTCCATGAAATCCCATAAAATCACCATAAAATGTTAATTTTTTCAGATGGTAATTGCCATGAAACCACCATTTTTCACCATCCCCCCAGGTGATCGATACCGCGCACCTCCATGGCGCTTTGGGCGGCTTCAAACGCCTGGCCTTGACCAAATTCGCGGAGGATGCCAAGGTGCGCGCGGTTGGTGGCCGGTTGGGGGCCAGGGGAGGTGGAAAATGTAGGGAAAAGGTGGGGAAAAGTTGGAAAATGTAAGGAAAACCTAGGGAAAAACGGGGGAAAAGGTTGGAAACACTTGGGAAAAACTGGAGAATGTTAGGAACACCTGGGGGAAAAATCTTGGAAAAACATGCGGAAAATGTGAGGGACACCTGGGGAAAAGGTTGGGAACATATGATGAACATCCTGAAACAACATGATGAAAATGCTGGGAAACTGGCTGGGAAACTCGGGTTTTACAAGTGATGAAACATTTCAGGAAATCTTGGGAAACACCGAGAAAAGTGATTAACAAATCAGGAAATGTTGGGAAAAACTTGGAAAAGTCATGAACATCTGGTGATATGGGAACATCCAGAAAAAAATCCTGGAGAATTCTTGGAATCATTTGGAAAAACTTGCGAAAATCTAGAGAACTGGTTGGTGGTTTGGAACATTATTTTTTATTTCCATATATTGGGAATAATCATCCCAACTGACTTTCATATTTTTCAGAGGGGTAGGTCAACCACCAACCAGCATAACAGATCATAACAGTAGAATGAGATGTGTGATGGGATGGGGTATAATTTTCATGAGAGAATCTAGAGAGAATCTTGGAGTATTGGATATGCCACCAATCTCCAACATTAAATTGGGAAATCGTTGGAATAATCTCGGAGAATCCCGAAACGGCGAAACACGAACTGGTGAAAGTTTAGTCCTTTTCTGATGGGACATAGTCTCCCAAGAAATGATATCTCATCCATCGTGGTCATTGACCACGCAACATAAACGGCTTATATCTAAGATTATCCAACTATAAATGGGTTATATCTCACTTAAAACTGGGTTATATCTCACTATTTTGAGGTCATTCACCACTTACAGGATGGGGCCCTCCAGTTATAAGTGGGTTTATAAACAATTATAACCCCTATTAACTATAGTTATATCTACCATAGAGCCACTTATAAGGCAACTTAGCTATCTTGGGGGCCCCACCCTGTACTATTCGGTTTTATTTTTCTTCCATTACGACCTTATTTGGGACGATGGCCCCATTGACGATCAGTTTTTCTTCACGTTGGAACCACCAACCAGATGGTTTTCGGAACAGATGGATCCAGCCGCGAAAACCATTCTGGTTGGTGGTTTCCAAAGAGGTAGAATGCCAGCTATTCACAAACTAGGAAGTTTCTGGGAATCTACACAAATTGGGACAACAACTCCAAGTAATTTGCTCCTCCAAGTAGTGGCTATGGCTATAACTTAGTAATACCACATGAGTCAGTGCTTATCAGCCCACCAACAGTCACCAGTTACCCTCTGGCAATCATGGTTTGGAGGAAAATCAACCATTTAGTTCGATGATTTTCCCATCAAGGCACCTTGTGCGACGCCTCGCGGATCTGAGGCCAGATATGAAGAGATGGCCAGCAATGGCAGTGTGACGCCTCTGAAATTTCGCCTGGTAGGTGAGACCAACAGTCCGGGCAGCCCAGGGAGGAGCTTGATTTTTTTCAGACCCTTGGCAGATGACTTCGCACCTTGTCACAAGTTTTTTTTGATGGGAAGACTTTGCAGATGATGATTTTCGGAAAGGTCGTACATTTTGGAATTTTCAATTGATTTACGGATGGTTATTGTCATTGTTAGTTGTATATCCCATCAAATTCCTTTTCATATCCCGATCAATGGGTCCCATTTATATCCAGTTTAACAATCGATTATAAATGGTGCATTTTCTATAGCAAACTGTAAACTTAGCATTGCTGATTAGTGTGGCCCCCCCCCAACCTCAACAATTTTAGGCTACTCAATAACTCGCCATTTTCTGCCCCCCCCCCAACAATTTTTAGGATAGTCAACTTAAGTAAGGAAGTAAGGATTCCACTTGACATCAATCCTAGGTCAATCTTACATGGATACTTTAATCCTTCAGTCTTTTGGTATAAATGGGAATATCTACTAACCAGCAAAGTTTTTTTTTTTGCAGGGTATCTAAGATTGGGTTTTCAATCGAAGTTATTATACGTGTTCTTTTTGTGCTAGCGGACTGTTTGCCGGGCCATGAATTTGGGGTGGGCGTGGGGTGGGGTGGGGTAATAACGTACGTTGCACTTGCTTGGTCACTAACTTGCTACGCCACTTACTTGCTTCGTGACAACATGAGGATGGGGTGGGGTGGGGTAACAACGTACGGTGCATTTGCTTCGTCACTGACTTGCTACTCCACTTACTTGCTTCGTGACAACATGAGGATGGGGTGGGGTGAAGGAATAACGTACGTTGCACTTGCTTCGTCACTAACTTGCTACGCCACTTACTTGCTTCGTGACAACATGAGGATGGGGTGGGTTGGGGTAACAACGCACGTTGCACTTGCTTCGTCACTGACTTGCTACGCCACTTACTTGCTTCGTGACAACATGAGGATGGGGTGGGGTGAAGGAATACATCCGCAGCCAACAATGGCGTTGGGAACTTGGCTCAGAGTCCTTGCTTGTGAAGACAGGCCAAGCTCTGGCAAAGCTGTGAATGCTGACAAAGGAAAAAGCTGCGCTTTCATTTCGACTCGTTTGGAGCACAGAAACACTGCAAGTGTTGCAACCTGAAGCAAAACGCAACATCTTGCATGAGACCATTTTCAATCAGAAAGCTGAGCTGCTGTGCAGATCAAACCATGTTTTTGGCAGAATCGTGCGTCGGTAACGAGTCCGCCGGGTTTTTTTTGGCGACAACCATGGTTACAAAGCCTTATATGGTACACTACCTCCATTTTAGGATCCTGGAATTCCCATTGAATTGACATCAATCTACTTTAAAATGATTTTCCTTTTAAATCCAAGACAACATCACCTCAAAAGTTTTTGTGTACAATAGGGTACCATCGAAACAATTGCATTATTGAGGATTTTGGTCACTCATGGGGTACCCCCTTGAAAAATTGTTTGGGTGCTGTTTTTTTTAAGGCTTTAACATGAATATGGTTTTCTAAAGTAAATGGACCAGCTTTACCCAAAGAGAGGTGGATAAAACTCCTCCTGAAAAAAACGGATCTGAGAAAAAACTTTCCACAATAGAGGTTCAATTTTGGAAAAAACGCAATAGAGGGCCATCACACCAACCGGTATCCAACATTATATATATTCGATGATTGTTCATGGGGGATATATCTTGATATACCATAAATGCCATAAATGACACGGAGTTTTTCTGGTGCAGGAACTCCGCCCAGGTCGCTATGGTTCCAAGAATGACATGGCTCATGAGGTGCAAAACCCAGGTACCCGGATGGTACCCCTAAGTCATAGCTGGTTAATGAATGGTGAATTCCCCAAATATGGCTGGTTGGTGGTTTGGAACATGAATTTTATTTTTCCATTCAGTTGGGAATGTCATCATCCCAACTGATGAACTCATATTTTTGGGAGGGGTAGGTCAACCACCAACCAGGTGGTAATGATAGGTTTTGACCCAACAAGTCATAGCTGGTTTTGCTGAATGGTTTTTTCCTCCCCAGTCAGTCATGGTAAAAACATAGGGAACTTGACCCATCCCTTTTTGTTGGAGATTACCCTTCTGTTTCATCAAACGTGGCAATAGAACAAATCCTCAAAAAATGGAAGGTTTAATGGTAATATCACCATTTTGAATGGGTTAATCATGGTTAATAATGATTAATACTGGTTGGTAACTTTAAGGAACATGAATGGATTATGATTTTCCAGAAACAGTTGGGATTTTGTTTTTTCCCAACTGACGAGTTAAGTCCATCATTTTTCAGGTGGGTAGGTCAACCACCAACCAGATTTCAATGGTGGATGTTCCATTTCCATGGTTCATTACCAGAGGGTATGGGAGATTTCCCCGGCTCATTACCAGGGGGTTCAATAGATGCTGTGACACCAATAGATCTAATAGCTCTGGATTTTAAGGCATGTTGAAATTTATCATCCAACCATATCAATATTTTAATAACTATTGCAGGGATTCGCGTTTTTTTTAAATATCCATCAAAGTCAATCTCACTGGACGAATATTGGTTTTGTCCAAACATAGGGCATGCCCAAAACATGCTATTTAATGTGTGGAACAAATTTCTCTGAATCATAGTTTTTTTTTGTACATGCTGTTCAGGGTGGTGAGCCATAGATGATTGAGGTGGTGAAGATGAATCCAACAAGCTAAATTTTTGGCTATAGTATTCATGGGGTCATAAACAAACTTAGCCAACTATGGGGTGGAACCACCTTCTAGAGTCCGTTCCAGTCACAAAGTTTTTTTTTGTTTTACCGTGTCTTATCCATCCAAGGATGCCTATTTCCATCATTCTCCGCCTTTCTCAAGCCTGCATCTAGAGCAACTCCTCAAAAACACATCTTTGTTTCAAGATGTTCAACGATATTTACTGGTTGGTGGTTTCAAACATGCTTTATTTTCCATAATATATATATATATATAAATATATATATATATATATGGGATGTCATCCTTCCCATTGACTTCCATATTTTTCAAGATTGTTATCGCACCACCAACCAGTTTACCACCGAAATCGACCAGTTTATCTTCCTCCAACGTTTCGCCGATTTTTTTTCTCCGCGTGGCAGTTCGACATCACGTGGCATCTCCTTCCGTGCCGTGGCCAGGCGGGCTTCGATTCCTTAGTCACGGCGCAACTCTACGCCTACTTGCGGGAAATCTCCCCGGCCCAGGTAAAGGAGGCGATGGGAAGCTGCCAGCGCCAGCTGGGCAAGCCGATCGCTGGGATGGGCTGAAGTTTTTCAGGGCTGGGTTCAGAAAATGTAAACTTTTTCCATGGGGATTGTGTATGAAAAATGAAGGATTTTTTAATGGGATGTCCATGGATTTCTGTTTTTTAGAAAAAAATGTGGATTTCATGGGATTTCCATGGATTTATGGTTCAGATTTTTTTTTTTCGGATTTGGATGGTGATTCAATTCGTGATTTACTGCTGAGATGTTCGAAGCCGGGTGATTTTTCACGCTGGGTTTGAGCCTTGGCCGGCAGGGAGCGAATCGCCTCTTTCTGTACAAGAGACGCTTGGAATGCGTTTGGATAGATACTGTGTTTGTTAAATTTTCACACAACTACAAGGTGGTGCCCCATAGTTAGCTAAGTTGGTTTATAACTCCAATGTCACTATGGTTTATTGTACTTATATCTATAGTTAATGGGGTTTATAAACCAACTTATAACTGGGGGGCACCACCTTGTAGTGAAAGTCACCATTTTTAATAGGTAAATTAACTACAAATGTGCCATGTTCAATAGCAAACTGTTAAATTACCAGGGGGATAATCATGTTTGTGTATAAATGTCCTGAGCAGAAACAAAAACCGAGCAAACGTGGTCAGCATTTCTGGAAAATTGCCAGTTGCTAAAGGTAAATCATCTATACCCTCTGCTATACATACAAAAAACTATTGAACATGGCCATAGAAATAGTTGATTTACCCATTAAAAATGGTGATGTTCATTGATTTTCCATAGTTTTTTTGTATGTTTACCAGAGGGTAAATGCGGCCCATTGTCCAGTAATCAGTCATGGCCTGCTGGGAATTCCATCATTTACAGCTGGTTCTCCCAGGCTAAAGGCTTCCAGGGGTCGCCATGTTTGATGAAACCAGAGGCGAGTGGAAGTCACTGGCAGTGACGTAGCTGACCTCTTTTATCTCTGTATCAGTTTTAGTTGCTAAAAGGTAAATCATCAGAGGATCTCAGTTATCCTATTTCCGTATCTCAGTGTCAATTATCCTTTTTTGCAACTGTAAATCATCTATAAAAGTTGGCAATTTTCGCTGTATGTGAAAAAATCACCAGAGGGTATCTCAGTTTCAATGGTTGTTTCAGGAATTACTAGAATACTACAAACTAGGCTGTTTTCTATCTAGAATACCTATACTAGATACTATTCCCTTATTTCCAGGTTCTTCTCTAGTCATGAAGCCACCACCACTACCCAGCACCACGACCGAGCAAGGTATAGAGTACTTGGACTTGGAGCGTGCAGCGATGGAGGGTGAGGTCTGTATCTCTGTTCTGGATCGCTGTCTTTTTTCAGGTCACCTTTGAAGGATTCTATGGGTAAATTATGGGCATATCATTCATTGCCAATCTTAGATACCTGGCAAAAAAAAAATATTTTTTAGCTGGTTAGTGGATACTCCCATTAGCAAAAGATTAAAGGATTAAACTACCCATCCAAGATTGACCTAGCATTGGAGGTACCTACCATATGTAAGGCCTATTTTTCAGGCCTAAATTTCAGGATATCCCAACAATTCATATGGCCTTATATGGTACTAACGTACCTCCATTTTAGGATCCTGAAAATCCCATTGAAATATAAGCAACATTAACCAACAAAATCGTCATTTGGGGTGAACACATGAGAAATTGAAGCATCAAGTGTTGCCCATACAATGTGGGGCCCCCGTTTACGATACCTAACTTGGTGAGAATAACCCCAAGGTCACTTTATAAAACCCTCATAACTGGGGGGGGGGCCACATTGTATAACCAACAAACTTGTCATTTGGGGTGAAGAAATGAGATTTGTTTAAGCATCAACTTATCTAGGTAAATTATAACGCGGCGAGCCCTGTCCTTCACGCGGCGAGCCTGTCTGACTTGCTGTAAAAGTCAGCGGAAGAGCCATGGAAATCTCTCATGTCATTCGACCTTTGATCGAGAGGTATGATGTTGACTCCTCTGTTGGGTGCTCGATTCTCCAGCCACGATCCAATTTGCTGGTTGATGTTTCTGCAATTCAACTTTGGGAAGATACTATGCACCTTAAGATCAATCAATGGATTCCTGAGGGTAGTGGGACAGATAGATTTTGGGGCGATGCTGTCACTGTGCCTGGTGACTCACCATGTGATTCTGACCTCACGCTTGTTTGGGATGTTCAAAGGGCTCTTCCACCACTGCACACCAAGTTGTGGTTCCTGCAAATTTGTGAAGATGCCACTGATGTGCGAACCTTTTATTTTGATGACCAGTCGGAATGGGGATATGTCACCCCACCTCAGCGTAGTGAAGTTTTCCACCACTTGGAACTATTCTGTGGCGGAATGGGGGGATGGACATCCATGTTGGACATGCTCTTTGACATGAAGAATGCTCATACTCAATCCATTGGCATTGAACTGGACCTCAACACAGCATTTGTTTTTGCGGTGAATCAAACGGCAGCTCTCATCAAGCCTGTTGACCGAATCCCTTTTGATTTTGATCGGATGTATCAGGGTAACTGGGTGATTTGTGACGATGTTCTATCATGGAAATGGTTTTCTGCAATCTCCAAATGGGGGGTGGACCTGGTAACTATTAGTGCTCCTTGTCCTTCTTGGAGTACTGCATCGTCCTCTGCTGGTCTCTGGAAAGAAGAGGGACAACTGTTTGTGCATTCCATTCTCAAATGCCGTTTTTTCCGACCAGAATACATTGCGATGGAGAATGTAGCAGGGTTTTGTTCTCATGATCACAAAGGTATCATTGAGAAGGCACTCAGGTGGATTGGCTATAGGCTCACATGGCAAAGGGTTTGGGACATCAAAGACCTCCTAGGTGTCACTAGAAGTAGATGGACTGCTGTTGCCAAAAGAGTTCATGGTGAGGTGCAACTCCCAAGCCTTGCACGTTCAGTTTTTCCGACCACCAGGCCTATTGACCATGCATGTTGCCTGATTGATTGGAATCATGAATGCATCCGTCCATTGCTGATCACACCGCAGATGGCATCCGTTGCATCCGATCCTAGGAAAGCTACCCGCCGTGCTGACCAACTGCAGCCGCCAAATGTAGTTTTGCAATCCCGGATGTTTGCCACCACACATCAACTGCCAACGTTTTTGGCACAATATGGTTCTCAGCATGAACCTAATGATCAGTTTCTCAATCGACATGGGTATCTTGGTTTCTTTCACCAACAAGCTGGACTGCCATTTGGGGGACGCCTATTCCATCCTGCTGAAGTAGCCCTCTTGCATGGAATTGTGAACCAATTGTTTGTGTTGGATGACATGAAACTTTCCTGGCGGATCACTGGAAACTGTATCACGATGCTTCATGCCATGCTTCCTTTGTTGAATGTTGTGAATGCCTTCCTTCCAACATCCATTTCCTCCGAAGATGTCTTGACCAGGTTTGATGAACTGCGACTGTTTTCAGATGCGAAGATCACCAAGACACAGCGTGGGACTTTTTTCACACTGCCTGATCAAGTACCATCACAAGGATTCCTGGATAGCTTGGCTGAGTTCGAAACTTTGCATGAATCCACATGTGACATGAGGGCCTGGATCCCTGGTCAAGGTTGCGTTGCAGTTTACCAAATGTATCCAATCGACATTCCCCATGCCCAGGCCACGCAGGAAGTTTGTGCCTCTGCAATTTCAGTGCCATCATCACCATCATCCACAGTGCATTCGACCATGCCTTTTGCAGTGTCCCTACCGGCCAAATTGATCCTTGATGAATTCTCACACACTTTTTGGTTTTCCTCGGATTTGCCAGCTGCATGTGTAGAGATGCCTTGGAATCATGTGTATGAGTGTGTTTTTCCTGACGAAGCTGACACCCATGCATGCACGATGCTTAAGCCACGCAGCCTACCATTTTCCGATGACAATAAGCTGCCTCAGAATGTGATTCAGATCTTGTTGGATGACCAACTCACCTTGTACACAGTGTCACATAGCACACCTTTGCTTGCCCATGACACTATTGTGCAATTGGCCCCTGTTGTGCATGATCAGTTTGGTGTGCTGAACATTCATCAGACTGCTGATGAACACACTTTGCTCATTGATCGCCCATTGCAACATGGAACTTTGTGCCTTGCGAGTCCTCACACTGTGCTCAGCTTGCTTGCGGCTTTGGACCTTGTTGACCTCCGAGAGTCTTGGAATCCAAGGAATGACTCTTTTGAGCTCACAATTCATGGTCAACCTGACGCTGTTCGCATGGTTGCAGATTTCTGGCTACATGCCTTGCATCCGGATACCTTGTCCCATTTTGGACGTACAACACATGTTGCCCTGGAAGCCCATGGAGTTATGCTTGCATTTCCACCTGCGAAAGCACATGGAGTTGTCCCACCACAAGCATTTCGTGTTGCACTGGCCATTGGAGCCTTTCGAGCTCTGATTCAGCAAGCTGTTGCGGAATTCCCTGATGCATCGGCCAGACCCTTTGTGCTCAAGTGGTTAGCCAGACCTGTTTGGGAAGGCCAGATCCCTACCCAATTCACAGCCGGGTTGATCATCAAATTCCTGTATCATGCCATGTTTCCTGTCAATGGACATGTTCCGCATCGACTTATTTGCAATGCCAAGCAGGTTATGCCTGACTCCCCCATTGCTGACATGCCACTTTCAGAGCGAAGACAGGCGATTCTCTTTCATGCAGTTTTGCAGCTGAAAGGCGGAGGTCAAGGTGCCAAGAATCAACAGCGTATCCTTCAACAGACTGCCCTTGCCAGCTATCTGCTTGAGCACGGATTTGAGTTGCCATGGATTTCACAGGCCGCTGAAGCCATTCTGCAGAAATTTTCTTTGGCCAAACTCCAAGCGATCACAGCAATGCCTGCGGGTAATGCCAAGTTGACATCGATCATGACCCTATGCCGCGAAGCTGACATCAAAGTTCCTGAGGTTGTCAAACCCACCAGCCGCAAAGACACACCTGGTCTTCCTTGGAACAAACCCAAGAAACGCAGAGGTGGTGATGCATTGGATCCAAATGAGTTTACATTGGTTGAATCCTTTTTCAAGAACCAGGATGGAACTCCCTGTGTTGCAATCCCTCTGGTGCGTCCACAAACCACTGGGGTTTGCTTGATGAATACATCGCAGGCGGCACAGTGGCTGCAGACCGAAGAGAAATTGTCCAGTGATGAGCTTGCAATCCTTGTCCTAGGACCACGACCGGAGACCAAGTTGCCTTGCACCGAGCTGTCCGTTCCATGCCACAATCTCGATGGACAAATGGTCCTGTTGAAATGTTTCATGTTCCAGTTGGGTGTGAAGGATGTTGTCCACCAGAAAGGTGACCCACAGCAAGTTGATGCAGCCAAATGTGTCCTCATGGCTTTGACACTGTATCGCCCTGACTTCACGCAGGATCAATGGAACGAAGCCACACAGGCGACCTTGCCATTCATCAGAAAGCTCCTTGAGGCTGAAGGTCTTGGAGATGCGGTACTTTCGATGTGGGGTAGATCATTTCGTGCTGACAAAGCTCCCTGCACCCCATTGCAGGCCAAGACCATTCAGATTCACTGTTCAGTTGGACTTGATCATGTGCCCAAGTTCCTGGCTCGTTCCGGATTCAACCACATATTTTGCACCCCAAAGCAATCATCTGGTCGTTTGTCGAGTGATTACCGCATTTTGTGGTTGCAAGGCGATGCCCAACAAATTGCTGTTGCCAGTGCCAAGGTACCTTCATGCTTGGGCATGGTCCGTGGCCAAAAGACTCTTGGACTTCGGTTCAAAGATGCTGACTTTGACAAAGCATGGGACGTTTTATGCCCCCAAATGCCACGGCCTCACAAGCTCCAAGGCGATCTTATCTTCAAGGCTGAAGGGCTCCCCTTTGGGACCACTTTTGACATGATGCAGCAATGGGCCCAAAAGATTGGATGGCAGTGTCAGCCAGTTCGAACCTTGGGGCCTCAGGCAATGCTCCTTAGATCAGACAGTCATCCTCCGGCTGGAGTGCTCATGTTTAATGCCTCTCCGATTTTGGTTCGATTTCTTCCTCCAAAGCCAGCTGCCAACACAGCCCTATTGGTTGGGCCTCGAGCCACCAAAGCCAAACCACAGAGCATGGACTCTGGTGACATTGGAGATCCATGGGCAGCTTACAAGGGGCCACGCCCAACACCGCCTGCTGCCATGCCTGTCCGTTCGGCTGATGGACCAACGGAATCCAGATTAGCAGCCCAAGATCAGAAATTGCAGGCCATTGAGGCCCAGATCCAGACATTGACCAAGACGCAGGATGCCTTTGTCAAACAGACTGATGCCAGATTCCAAGCTGCTGAAGAGCGTGAAAAAACCCAGCTCCTTCAGGTCTCAATGGAAGGCATCAAACATGATCTCGATCGTGCCCTCCACACTGCATTTCAGAAAAACACAGCTGTTATGGAGGAGAGGATGGCAGAACTCAAGCACTTGTTAGGCGCCCAGAATAAGAGACCGCCACCGGATGAAGGTGGCATGACAGATTGACCATTCCATGTCACACCAGACAGGCCAGTGGGTGTTGTAGATCCTATGCTGCAGTTTTGCCCCCACTGGCCTGCACCGTCCAAGTCAGCCTGCCTATATATCACGGTTAGGGGTAGTTCTTTTGAAGCTGTCATGTGTCTCTTGAGTCACTGTCAACCAGATCAACTGTCATCCGTGTGCAGGCTCCCATTTTTGAGGGAATGCCACCAACAATATTGTGCGCAATGTTATGATTCCTTTGCACATTTTGGCTTTAAATGTTCAGTCCACATGTCGAGATGCTGCGAAGTAGTGTTGTCAACTCTTCTTCACTGCCATGCCGCCCGGGTAGTATGTTGTTTTGCGGTCTTCCAGAGTTGTAAGTTTGCCTGTTTAGCCTCAGCATGTTCGGTGTTTCTGGAGCAGTGCTTTCAAGAGTGCTTGGAGTTCCAAGTGGCCACTGTTTTACCACGTTGTTTTCTGGCCAACATCCCGCGCCTGAAGTGTATAGCATCCTTACGGGACTGTGCCATTTTTTCTCTTTGGCGATCCACAATTTCTGCCGGCATTTTGCCAACCAATGAGCTTTGCCATAATCCTTACACTGCCGTACGGGTAGGAGAAGCCTTGCATCCGGGGCCTGAACCCCTTTGCCTTAACTTTGCTGTAACTAACCCCACCAGCATCGTTTCCAAACCAGGCCAATATGCTGAGTTGATCCAGGAATGTGCCCTGGATGTTTTCAGCGCTTCCGAAACGGCAGCGACCAAAGCTGCCCAGCGTCAATTTGCAACAGCCATGAGACATGTTGGTTTTCGATCCAAGTGGTCAGTGCCCCTGGCAGACCGAGTTGTCAGAAGCGATGGACAACCCTCCTTGCGAGGGAAGGCATCCGGTGTGGGCCTCTTTTCATCATGGCCTATCAGAACTCTTTCAGATACCATTGACGAGTTTCATGCTGCCACTTCTAGACTTGGCCATTTTCTTTTGGAAATTGATAAGTTTCAACTCCAAATTGTGGTCATTTACGGCAATGCCATGTCCGGGTCGGTAAGAGCCAATCAACTGTTGCTTCAGGCTGCTTTGAATGCTACTTCACACTTTGACTTGCCATATGTCATCATGGGAGACTATAATGCTGACCCTTACAGTCTGCTGCCAGATGAGTTGCGAGACCGTAACCTGGTTGACTTGCGTAAGATTTACACTAAGCTGCATGGAGGCACCATGCCTGCCACTTGTAAATCAGTAACCAGTCCAGACAACGCACTTTTTTCACCCTTAGCTGCCTCATGGGTTACTAAAGTTTGTGTTCTTCCCCCTGGACATTTTGATGCGCATAATGTGGTGACTTTCCAGCTCACCATCCCTGCATTGACCTTTGCAACTAAGCGAATATCCTTGCCAAAATCTTGGATTGATCTCCCGATTGAATCCCAATTTCTTGCGCAATCCTATGATATTGCTGTTGCTGCCCTAGGGGTCCCTCACTGCCTTGAGGAATGGGGACAAACTGTTGAGTATGCTGTTGACCATGCCTATCGATGTACTCAGCTGCGTAATGAGCAAGTTCCTTGGCACCGAACCAAGCCTCTCCCCAAGCAATTTCGAGGTCGCTGTCAGCCTCGTCAGCCCCAAGCTGTCCCAAAGAAGTTGCTGACCAAACCTGGTCGTCCTGGGGACTACTCACCACCTGGTGAGATCATCCGCAGGGTCACTCAGGCTCGTATCAAGCAAGTGCGGCGTGTTCAATCCTTGTACAGGCGAGTAACCAAAGCCCAAACGTATCACCCCACTGCCAATGTTCAAAGTGAGATGCAGCAGGAATGGAATGCCATTTTGCGTTGCAAAGCTTTTGATGGATGTCAGATTCGCTGGTGCCAGAACATGCCTGAACTTGGCCCGCCACCCATGTTTGTGCCACAGGTTGACTACTTGGGTACCATGCTCCAACTGCTTCGATATCAGACAGACATGGATGTTGCCTTTGATAGGAAAATCCATAAGGATCGATTGACTTTCGCTCAGGACCTTGACCAGCGATTTGCAGGCCATAGGGCAGCCTTTGCATCGGTTCGAGAGTTCTCCATGCCACCTTTGCTTGAAATGCAAAAGCAGCTTGCAGAAGATGCCATTCTTGTGCCTCATGCTGATGATCATGTCATTGCATACTGTGACCATGCTGATCTTTTTGATCTTGCCGCCCCTGTCATGGTCCATGATGTTCCATGTAGAATTGTCAGTCGAGATGAATATTCTCTGCAGCTGAAATGGCCACGACACCAAGATGTCCCGGAGCAGTCAGTACTCACCCAAACCTTGACCAAGGCTGACCCTTGCTCTATGCTTGCCATGCTTAAGGACTTTTGGTTACCTATATGGTATCGCCCTGATCCACCGGCTGAAGCTGCTGAAGCTTTCCAACAGTTTGTTGCGAGCCTGCCAGTTGAGCTGCCAGCCCCGGCCATTGACATGCAAGACGCACAGATGTGGAAGCTTGCGGTTCGGGAACTTAAGGTCCCTTCTGCACGTGGCATTGATGCCATATCATCTCAAGAGCTTAAGCAGCTTCCAGATGCAGCCATTTCCCAGGTGGCCTCCATCATCAATGCTCAGGAACATGGTTTTCCTTCATGGCTTATGACAGCCATCACGGTGGCAATACCCAAGGTTGCATCGGTCCCGGAACCTTCGCAAATCAGGCCTATAACTGTGTTAGGACAGTTGTATAGACTATGGTCGCGGGTCATTTGTAAGCAGTTGTTAGCCCACATGGCCTCACATCTCCCCCATGAAGTGTGTGGATTCTTGGCACACCGTGGACCGGCTGACTCATATATGCATCAGCAATGGATGATTGAGCGGGCATACCACATGCAGCAGCACTGTGCCGGAATCACAGCAGACCTGTTAAAGTGTTTTAACACTATCTGTCCAGCCGCTGTCCTTCATGTTTTCACTTGGATGGGCTTTCCTCCTTCTGTCACCAACCAATGGTATGCCTCTCTCAGTAAGCTTTGCCGTGTTTGGAAAGTTGGACAAGATTTTTCTGCTCCAATTCAGGTGAACCATGGCTGTCCCGAAGGGGATAGCTGGAGTGTTGTCAGTATCCTTGCCCTTGCTTACGTCTGGATCCGACTTGCCAAGAGGGATGCTGCCAGCTGCCAACTGGCAGCTTATGCTGATAACTGGACGTGGAGTGCCAACACCACTGCTGACCATCAATCTTTGTTGACTTTGACAGTTAATTATGTTGCCTCCGCTGGGATGCAGATTGACTGGCGGAAAACATGTGCCTGGGCCACCAGTCCCCAACAGTTTGCCATGTTGGCTGATGTGTTGCAGGCTCACCCTGAGGCTGCTGCAGTCCCTCGCTGCCAGAATGCCATGGACCTTGGAGCTCAAATGACATACCAAGGAGTTCCTAACTTGGGCAAATTTCGTGCTAGGCTGGAGAAAGTACATGACAGACTTTTGCGTCTGCAGCGCATTCCCCACTCTTTGAATACCAAGATCCGCCTTGTGAAAGGAGCCATATATCCCGCCGCATACTATGGTGCTGAGATTTTGCCTTTGGGTGATAGTCATTCCAAAAAACTTCGCACTGCCATAAGTAATGCATTGCTTGGACCCTCGTCATCTCGTAATGCTGCTTTGGCCATTTCAGCTATGCCAGGACTACTAGATCCGTTTTTAGAACTGATGTTGCGAGTTTTTTCCGCTGCCCGTAGGATGTTGCTGAGGATGTCAACCCAACAACGAGCACTTTTCTTTCGTATGGTTGCCAAACATAGTGGATTGTCATATCAGTGTCATGGTCCTGCTGGGGTTCTTGCCTTTTACCTGTCAAAGCTTGGTTGGCAGTTAGATGTGAATGGCACCATGCATGTCCATGCGTTTTGCAAATTGCCGCTGTTGACGACCGGCCGAAAGCAACTAGTGCGCTGGCTCCAATATGCCTGGGATTCAGATGTTTCGCTTCATGCCTGCGACCGTAAGGGTGTCCCTCGTTTTGTTCCACTTAACTCAGAGGACACTCGGGCAGTTGTGGCGAAGTTTCCTGACCACGACCGGTACCATATTCTGCAAGAGCTTTCTGGCTCCTTCCAAACAGAATCCCAAAAAATGAAGTGGGCGCCTGACTCCACAGGTTATTGTCGCACTTGTCAAGCATGGGATGATAGATACCACCGTGTATATGATTGCCCTGCCACGGATCATGTCAGAGAGCCATACCTTGACACCTTGAGGTTTTTTCAGGATGCAGGGGCTGAGGTCCACGAATTGCCTTTTGTTTTGCGGCACCCTCAGTATGATGCTTTGTTGGCCCTCCAGTACTGCTGTCCTGCGGCCCAGATAGATGATGACATGCTAAGTAGACTCCGTGGGCTTAATCTGCTTGGTTTTCCGGTTAATCTCTATACTGATGGGTCCTTAATGCATCCGGCTACACCTTCATGCCGGTATGGTTCCTTTGCACTTGTACTTGACACCTCGCTCAATGATGCGCAACGTATGGCAGAAGCCAAGACATGGTTGGAAACTGGCCTGTTTCCTCCTTCTTTGGTACGACTTGCTATGGCCAGGACTCAAGGGCCTCAGACCATTTACAGGTCTGAGTTCCTGGCTGTGCTGACAGCAGCTGAATGGTTTGATGATGTTGTTATTCATACTGATTGCCAGTCAGTCATCCGTGTGTGGGATGTCTGCGTAACTGCCACTGACTTTTCATGCCTTCATGCTTGTGATAACTTGGACCTTGTCGAACGCCTTTGGACTGCACTACAAGTTGGGAATAAATCCATCCACAAAGTTAAGGCGCATGTGGAAGACTTTACTGGGTTGGACCTACTCACAGTTTTTCACTCTCTTGGAAATAGACTTGCGAATGATGTCGCCATTCAAGCTTGTAAACATTTCCAACCGGAACCTGCCATTCTTGCGGAGGAAATCTTTGCGGAGTTGACTCAATTCCAACATCATCTGCAGCGGCTTTTTCAGATGTTTTTGGACTTGCGTGTTCACTATGCTAAGTCTGCGGAGCTACAGAAGGAGACTGAGTTGCACTCAGAGCTCCGACCTGACACTGGCCCCTCTCCCCTGGAGGTGCTTGCCAATTGGTCTTTTGATGAGGTTTGGTCACCACCATCACCTGGGATCACTATGTTGCAATATTCTGCTTGGGGTAAACCTTTGTGTAATACAGTTGTTGCTTGGATGCATGAAGTACGCTGGCCGTTGTCAGAGGAGATACACCCTGATGACCCTGGAGTCTCATGGCCGGAACTTGTCATTTCGTATACACTGCATTCGGGAATCATTCTGCCGGTGAAGCGTCTGAAACCTGATGGAACAGAGTATCTTCAGTTGTTCGACTCGTGGGACAGTGCGCGAACTTTTGAGGTTGGCTTGTCAGAGCTTGCACATACCTTCTCTAACCTGACCCTCCAGGTTCGTAAGCTACATGCCAATGACCCATGGCCAAACCGCCCACTAGGCTTCGTAAGATCCCTTTACAGGTTGGGTGCCCGTAACCAGCCAGCTGGCGTGAAATGTAGGCCCACTTTCCCTTGTCAGCAGCAGACCTGCGAAATCCTGCATCGTTTTTTACTGCAACATAAAGGATATGATACCCTTCCTGTCATCCCAATGGAGGTCAAAGCCATTGATGGCAGAACTTGTTGTCAGACATGGCCCCAAGGCCTGAAACTCGCTGCTAAAGGATTCCAGAAAATTAAGGAATGGAAAAAAGCGCCAACAGGCAGACTTTGTTTTTGACTGATCGCCACTTGTCATGAGTCCTTGGCGCCCTGCGCAAGGCTGACCTGCACTTAGTTAGTGTAACATGTTTCATCTCTCACGGTATGGACTCCCCACTCCATAAGTTTGGGTGGGGCTCTTGTCATGCGGAAAACAGGTAAATTATAACGACCTCACTGTTCTCCCTCACTGGAAATCATGGTTTAGATGTAGGGAAATCATCCCCTTTTATGGCCTTAATTCAGGTTGGTGAATTATTATAATTTACCCATATATATTATAGGAATAACTATATCCCACTAATATTTGAGGGTATTTCCCATGAATATCCAACTATAACTCACATTAAAATCCCATAAATACACCAGGCTTATGGGTTTAATATATGGTTTAGCCGTTCATCAAACATGGTCATTGAGAACCGAATCGCGGAGCAGTGGCAGGAATGGTTTTGTAGTGTAGGTAGATGATAGACAAACATTAAAACAAACAATAGTACTTGGTGGTTCATCCCACTTAGTAACTGGTTGGTGGTTTGGAACATGATTTGTTATGACTTTCCATATATTGGGAACAAATCATCCTAACTTATTTTCATATTTTTCAGAGGGGTTGAAACCACCAACCAGGTAAGTATAGATTGTTGTAGCAAGAGAAAATGTACAAAACTCTTGACCATCTTTGGTAAAACGAAACTCTGGATCATTACCTACCTAACTGGTTGGTGGTTTGGAACATGAAATTTATGACGTTCCATTCAGTTGGGAATTTCATGATCCCAACTGACGAACTCCATGATTTTTCAGAGGGGTAGGTCAACCACCAACCAGTATTGTTATCCCAGTTATCCCATTATTATCCCATTACTATCCATATTAAACCATATAAACCATATTAAAGCCATATATCTTCAGCCTACCAGGGATATCACCTACCTACTGACCGTTTGTGGGATGAGACAACCGGTTGAAGCGTGCCGTCTGTGGAGCTCCACGTCGAAACCGATGGCCATGCTGGCCAGGAAGCGAAAAAAATTGCAGGTACCTACCATATCTGGGTATGACCGAAGGTCAGTGGTTAAGAATGGTGAATGGGCCCATTAATGGCTAGTAATAGTTCATAATAATTGGTAATGCGTTAATCTGGGGAAATCTGGGTATGACCGAGCCCTGTTCTCCCGAACTCTGGGAATCATGGTTTATTTTAGGGAAATCATCTCCTTTTATGGCCTTAATTCAGGTGAGTGAAATATGATCATTTACCCAGATATATATGCCAGACATATATAAGGCCTATGTTTTAACCTTATGTACGGGAATATCCCAACAATTCATATGGCCAAACATATGGTACAGTCAGTACCTCTATAAATTGGATCCTTTTTTATTCCCATTGACCTGGTGTTTCTTGATGTTTTAGATCCTCATTACTGTAGTGACCAATGCCAATGGTTCTACCCTCTGGTAATTATCGTTACAGTTTGCGAACTTGAAAATGGCCATAGAAATAGTGGATTTACCCATTGAACATGGTGGATCTTTCCATAGCTTTTTGTATGTTTACCAGAGGGTATATCATCATATATCCCATTAAATCCCATTGAATCACCATTGAATCCCATTAAAACACCATTTTCCATAGTTTTTTGTATGTTTACCAGGCCGGGTATCTCTACTCCATGCTATGGGTGTAACTCCCAACTCTTCCCATGTCCAGAAACTGGTTGCTGAAAATATTTGAAGACGATGGCCCCGCCCAGTGATAACTTGGTATATAACTCCATCATATATACATATTCATATATATATATATATATGTATTATACATTATATATATATTATATATATATACATTATATATATACATGTATACTATATATATATATACATACACTATATATATATATACATACATATACATATTAGCGACCATATACGCATCAACCAACCGATACCTAAATCGAAACTTGGAGATCCCTTCCTGCAAGTGGTTCATATTCCCAACATATAAATACCGACTATTCAGTTGGTAAATCCCATGAGATCACCATTCAAAGAAACCAAAGAAACCAACTGAGCTACGCTTAAATCCCACGAAATCCTATGAAATCGCATTGACATCGCATTGAAATCGCATTGAAATCCCATGAATTCCCATGAAATCCCATGAAATCCCATGAAACCACCCTTTTTCATCGCCATTTTTTGGCTGGCCCTGCCTTTACCTCGGAGCAGGTTGGCGCGTGCATGTTCGACCTTAGTCGAGGCGGGTGAGGGCTGGAGACTTTTTTGGAATGTAATTGTTTCATTGATTCCAAATGAGTTGTTTTTTCCCAAATGAGTTTTTTCCAAATGATTTTTTCCCAAATGGATATGTAATTGGATTTTCCCAAATGAACTATTTTCTTTCCATTCGCACGCTGCTAGTCCTGCTAGTGACATCAAGTGACCGTGCGGACAATGACAAGACATTGAACCAGCTGGACCAGATCTATATGAACCAAATGAGCTAATTAAACTTGAAAATGAACATAAATGAACATAAATGAACTAACTACTTATTAATGATAATTAACAATAATAAATGTATAATTAATGCACTTATTAATCAACATAATGAAACAAATGAACTAATTACTGAGAATTAAAATGAACTAATTAATCATTGATGATAAGGACATGGCTTATTGATGATTAATTAATCATTGATCATCAGTAATTATCAAAAATGAAAGTACTTGGCCCATTGACAATTAAAATCAATTAATGGCTCACTGATGGCTCATAAACAAATGGCCAAAGCGTAAGATGGCTCATCTTATTTGGCTCATTCATATTGTTTTTTCCCATTGATGATCCTGGATTTGCTGAGCGTGTTGTTCTGTTCTCAATGGGAAAGTCCACCGGAAATGGGGAATCGATGGTTACGGATGTTCGATGCTAAGATAAAACATGAAACATCATGAAACATGCTAAGTTCCACCATTTTTACTAGGTAAATCCACTATAAATGGCCATTTCCAATAGCTTTTTGTATGTTTACCAGGCCGGGTAATACATGAAACCCGTGGCACATCTCAGAAATACTTAGGACATGGGAAGCTGGGAATGGATCCGCCAGAAATGGCCCTACTAAATGGCAAGTGCCTCTTGGAAACGTCACTACTAATATAGTTCGTTCGCTATCAACAAACATATCTCAGGTTTAATTGTGTGGATGCATTAAGTATAGTTATAAGTATCAAAAACCATAGTGAAATGGAGTTGTTTGCAGCAACTTAGCTATCGTAAACGGGGGCCCCACATTGTATAACAAATGTAATATATAACAGTATATATATACACATGTATTATCAACCATTTGATTTGGGATGTAAATAAACTTACTGGTGCTTAGTAGGGAATGGATGGGAATGGGGGTTGCTGGGATTATTATTGATAGTTAGCCAGTGGATAATTCCCTCATTCCCTACAAGTAACTAAAGGATATCTTTGGATTCCATTGGTTAGTAATATCCCATTAGTATAGTAATTGGGATTCCATAATTAATATATCCAACTAGGGATTCCATTATTACATTGCAACATCTAGGGATTTCTACCATGGCATAATTGTATTATCTATAGAAATATCATTATTATTAGATAATGCAATAATGATGTTGTTATAATGATATAACTATAATATTATTATAACTTAACATTATTATGACAACAGATTAAGTAATAGTTGATATAATCATGGAATCCCAATCTGATGATTACATACATTAGATAATGCCAACTATAGATATTTAATAACTATTACCATTGGACCATCCATGGAATCCCAATCTGATGTATGGTAATAGTTGGCATTATCTAATGTATGCAATAGTATATCAGATGGAATCCCAATCAATATACATATATTAGATTATCAATAGTTGACAACATCTGTATGATTGGAATATCATTGTATCACATCAGTCACTATATCCATGGATATTCCAATGGTAATAAAGAATTAAACATATCTATAGTTGGTATATTTAAATGGATAATCTTACTACCTAACCATTGTTTAATAACTATAATCCCAGTCTGATGTTGTTTTAAACAGCCCATGGCGAGCCGCTGCGCAGTTACGCTGCTGGTGGCCGCTTTGGATCCGACGGAAGGCAGTGATGCGCCGAGGCCGGCGGCAACGGCAACGGCGAGGCCTTTTTAAAAGCCGGCAGGGCGGCAACGGGCACGTGAAACACCCAGGATTTCTATGGGAAAATCGTGGTTTTGTACCAGTTAGTTTTATAGGAAATGGTGGTTTTGTACCAGTTACCCTCTGGTAAACTAACAGGTTGCTATGGGAAAATGGTCATGAGTCATTTATATATGATATAACCATTAAATATGGTGATTTTCAATAGCTAGGTTAAATTTTCCCAGAGGGTATTTCCAGATATGGTTGTTTTAGCGTGGTTTTTTCATCGTGGTGAATCCCATAATTTTGAGGAAAAAGATAGGATTTCAGATCCGGTGTTTCATGGGGAGTTTGGGGGGATTTCGTGGAGAATTAACCAACAAGGTGGTGCCCCCCAGTTATAAGTTGGTTTATAAACCCCATTAACTATAGATATATCTACCATAAACCATAGTTATTGAAGTTATAAACCAACTTAGCTAACTATAGGGCACCACATTGAATGTAAATGGTGATTTCATGGGGATTTACCATCTGGGAATCGAACATCTCCCATGTATAGATAGATGGTTTCCCCAGCTATAAACTTCCATGTACCCGGCCTGGTAAATAAACAGTTCGACCCTGAAAATCACCCATTTTTCATGGTTTCACTCATCTTCCAAGTCCTATGACTGCCAGGGTCGAACTGTTAATTTACCAGAGGGTATGAGGGATTTGCAATTGCTTGACTACCAGAGGGTAACCAACACATATATGAACAAATTGCACACAAGGTATTCTTGGTTGCGGATCATTTTGCGGATATCCAAAGATGGATGGGATGGGGTTCTTCTGCAATTTAAGGCCGTGACACAATGGGAGGTTTGGCAGGGAAATGCTGGATACTTGACATGACGCTTTGACAGATAGAAGAGATTTCAAGCGTATTTACAGTTATTATCAGTTATTTAGTGAGCAGCCGACAATGGCCGAAACACAGCAAATTTACAAAGTGCATGCCATGTCCTTTTCCTACTGGATTCATGAATAGAGGGGTTAACTCAGTTTCCAACCAAGAGGTGATGATTGATGGTGTACACCAGACCTGCCCGCTATTTTTCCCCATCTTTGATGGGGATTTACGGGAAAAAAGCCCTCTGGTACTTCAACAGTTTGCGGAAAGGAAATCTGCCACTTTTCATGGGCAAATCATCAGCAAGGTGAGCCCCCCCAGTCATGTTTGTTGGTTGAGTTTCACCCATTGAACTGTTTCGTTATATCAGTTGCCATCTGGTTATTTAACATAGCCATGGAAAATCACCATTTTTACTAAGTAAACCATCTACAAATGTGCCATTTTCCATGGCTATGTATATCCCCTACCACAGAATTCACAGAGTCAAACCATGCGACTTCACCTTGGACACAGTTTCCTCACCATATCCATTCTTCCACCATTCTTCCACCATTCTTCCACCATTCTTCCACCATTCTCCACCATAAAACCTTTTTCTTGGATTATCCCTATCCGATATTGTCCATGGTGCTGGAATATTTACCAACATTTACCCTGAAAATCACCCAGTTTTGTAGGTAAATATACCAGCACCATGGTTCGCGTATGGGTATGTTTTTGAACATGTCGAATCAAACAATTCTTCCGCTCTTCGAACCACTGGGAACATCGGACAGAGTTCCGCCTCGTTTGATCAACCGCCTCGCCAGGTTGATCGGCAATGCCGGGCATCTCTGCAAATGGATTGATGCCTTACACGTTCTCGTGGTCATGAGGTCCGCGACCCAGACCAACGGAGTGGGGAGTCATGTGATTTCGGCTTGGAGCGGCTTGGAAATCACAACATGGAGGGGTTATAGCTGGGATGGGAAAATCATGTAAAATCATCGAACTAAATGGAAGTTTATAGCTGGAGAATTCCCTACCATGTGGGACAATCATACATAAATGAGGAACTGTCTATCGCCAGATTACTAGAGGATTTCCTGGAGACGGGCGAATTGTGGATCGAACTCCTGGCGACATGTGCTTTTTCCCACTGGAATAGCTGCATGGTGGTTGTAAGATATTGGAAGGACATTGGTTGGTGGTTCAAAGCGCTAGATGTTCCATCCCAGCCAACGATTACATCTTCTGGTTGGTGGTTTGGAACATGAATGGATTGTGACTTTCCATTCAGTTGGGAATTTCATGATCCCAACTGACGAACTCCATCATTTTTCAGAGGGGTAGGGCTCAACCAGCAACCAGTCTTAGTCTGATTGTTATTGGTTGGTGTTGTCCATATCTCCATTTTTGGAATTTTAGCATCAGCAAACCATGACTGGGGATCATAATAGACATCATCCCAGTGATAGCCTAGCCTGGTATAGCCAATTTTGCACGCATCAAACTTGGGGATGGTCACTGTGGCATTGGTCGAATCCCACATTGTTTAAGTGATCACGATTTCTTTCAGTGATCAAGATTTTATGCAACCAGATATGTGGTATGTTTCTTAGTTTGGAAGATAAAACCCCTGAACATATGGGAAACAGGGTTGCTAGAAGCACCAGTCAGGGGAGGTTCGCTTGGATGTTGGACAAGATGAGGAAATCTCATCCCAGCAAGAAATGTCGAGAAACTGTTTTTTCATGTTTTTTTTCTAAAGAAAAACATCAAAGTTCCCTCATTGGCTCCCAAGTGTCCAATCTTCCCAAGTCGAAAAAAATATGTTCTTTCCCAACTTCCCCTCAAAAAAAATGTGTTGCCAAAGTTCCACAGCTTTTAGTGTGTATATATAGAATATACATATACATATATATATACATATATATATATATATTATACACATTATATATATATATAATTATATATATATATGTTTAGTACCAAGACCAACCAATTCTTGGGGTACTTAAAAACATAATCACCCATAGCCATTGCCGCTGAAATCTCCAGGGCCTCGGGCGGCGCTGCGGTGCGCAAGGCGGTGGAGTTGGCGAAGAAGGCGAGAAGTGGATGGTATATGTATAGATTTATAGATACTAGATATATGAAGTAGATTATACTAATCTTCATAGCTATATGATTAGTATATGGATAGAATAATAAAGGAATACATATATATATACATGATTACTATTTATATATTTGTTTGATCATTTATTGTAATTGAGAAGTGGAAAGTCATGACCAAAGTCATTGATATATGATCAGTATATGAATGGTATAGCTATGATGAATATTATAGAATATAATCCATAAGTGATATATGATTAGTATATATATATGGATGGAATTATAAGTGGAAACTAAGTATAATTGAATGGCTAAATGTGAGTATCTTTTGGGAAGAAATGCAAATTCATTGATTAGTTTGTACCCTCTGGTAAACTAACATAACTATGGATGGGAAAATCCACTATAAATGGCCATTTTCAATAGCTATGTAACAAATTACCAGATGGTAATAGTTTTGTATCAGACTCATTTTCATTGGATTGGTTTAAGGTTAAAATCTACAAGAAACCATGGTTTTTACCATGAAGATCATGGGGGTGTCCGGTGAACAAAAAAACCCGTACACCAATCTAAGACTCACAATTTCTGCAGATCACTACATTTACCCTCTGGCTATGACTAACATAGCCATGGTATAGATGGCCCATAGAAACAGATGATTTTCCCACTAAAACCTCCATTTATGGTTGGGATTTTCCAGTTTGCTATGTTAGTCATAACCAGATGGTACAACTTTAAACCAATCAACGAATCAAATCCATTCTTTAGATTCGTTGATTCACATGGTGCCAGGTGAATGTCATTGTTACCCGGCCTGGTAAATTAACAGTCCGGCCCTGAAAATAACATTTTTTTAATGGAAACTAATCTTCCAAACCCCACCTGGCAGGGTCTATGTTAATTTACCAAAGGGTATTTCAAGTGATATACCAACCATCCAACTTCAAGTGATATACCAACCATAGTGATGGTGAAATGTTGGTGAAATGTCTGTAGATTTTGTTGTTAATTCACTGGGATTTCACCACCACTTGTCGTTTTTTTTGTTGATGAATGCCATGAACATCTCCATGGAACATGGCATGAACCTTCCCTTCTCGAAGTTTTCCAAGACTTTCCATGACATCCCTAACGATAGGACGATGAATTTTAATTTGCATCTTGGAGTAATTAACATTACCCTCCAGTAAATTAACATAGACCCTGCCAGATAGGGGTTGAAAGACTAGTTTCCACTATAAATTGGTCAGTTTCAGGGTCTATGTTAATTTACCAGAAAGCAATAATTTACTTTAACATGCAAATAGATAATAATTAATTACTCCATGTTAATTTACATGTTAATGACATCCCTAACCAAGATAGTAATGTTCCGTCTTGGAAAAAAAAATAATCATGAATTTTGGATGTAAATGTGTTTGAAGTAAATGTTGCATCTTCTTGGGAAATTCATAATCCAAATGTTGCATGTTTGTTTTGCTATGTGAATGGAAAATCATCCCAGCCAACCAGGAAAAGATGACGATTTTCGTGGACGATCTAAAATTGACCATGGAAACTTGTCAATGAGCCTAGTTAGTAAGTCCCCAGTTGGACTATTCCATTTATAACTGGTAAATTAACAGTTCGACCCTGAAAAGCACCAGTTTTTAGTGGAAACTAATCTTCCAACCCCTATCTGCCAGGGTCTATGTTTATTTACTGGAGGGTAAAACTGGTTTATCATCCCACTTACTAGTAACCACTTAAATCACGAGAAAAATCCCTTTCTCTTCTCATTGGATCGGTTTAAGGGAACAATTTTTCACTGGAAATCCCTATGGTAAAAACCATGGTTTCCGGTGTAGATTTTCCCTTAAACCAATCTACAGGATCTACAGGACGTTGACCATTAAGATCAATAGATTATAATATAATATAATATATGTTTTTGTTTCCCTTCATCTATTTGATCTTCATGTTAATTTCAAGATTAATTTTGACCTTATTTGACCATTAAGGTCAATTTGACCATTTAAAAACCATAGAAAATCAATCGATTGTTTTTTTCCCATGATTTTTTTTCACATGTTTTGATGTTCCAAAAGCCATCGATCTTCAGTTTTTCCCCTACAAGGCTGTGCCCCCCAGTTATAAGTTGGTTTATAAACCCCATTAACTATAGATATATCTACCATAAACCATAGTTATTGAAGTTATAAACCAACTTAGCTAACTATTATTGAAGTTATAAACCAACTTAGCTAACTATAGGGCACCACATTGTAAGTCTTCACAGCTAGACTATCCCCCAGGTGCACGGCGTGGTTTCCTGGATGGGCTTCGACGAATGGCGCGAGGGCGAGGCTCAGAAGGCTCAGGCTGGGACTGGAAATCGCCGCAAACATATGGATGTGGGTCAAAATGGAAGACCTAGGGGACCACAGATGTTAGTCTAGTTTAGTATTAGCCATCCATAATTTTGGGGTACCTAATTTTGACCCATACCCATTTCAACGGAAAAACATGGGGAAAACATGGTGGTTTCACATGACTTAACCATGAAAACATGGGGGAAACATGGTGATTTATGGTGAACAAAAACATGATTTAAGAGTGAAAAAAACATATTTCAAAAATGAAAACGGGTGAGTTCACCATGAAAATTGTTGGTGTAATCGGTATTTTTCATATGGCGTTTTTTTCCTCGGGATGATTTGTGTAACAAAATTTGGGAGTCAAGCCTGATTTTCACCGTGAAAAATGAGGATTCAATGATTACCCTCTGGTGAACTAACATAGCAATGGAAAATCACCATTTTTAATGGGAAAATCCACTATAAATGGCCATTTTCCATTGCTATGTTAGTTCACCAGAGGGTAACACCTGGAGTGTTTCATGTTTTTCATGGTAGCGATGGTCGCGCCAGTTTTTTGTCACATGGTATTCCCAACTGCTCCAGTTAGGAAGGGAAAGGCCACCTTATTTCAATGATTTCAGGAGTTGGTCAAATGTCATCATTTAACATCACCCAACTAAACACCTAAAATGTCTTCATCTACTTGAATCACATGTGGAGGTCAAAACTAGAAGCCCCAAGAAATAGATGGTTAATACTAACTGGTTTGTGGTTTGGATCATTTTTAATTTTCCATATTGGGAATAATGATCCCAACTGACGAGCTCAGATTTTTCAGAGGGGTAGGTATACCACCAACCAGCTAAAAATTGCGTAAAATATTTGGCCCCCCGGGTCTTAGCTTTTGCCCATTAAGGTTACTTCACGTTACACCCAAAGAAAACCTGGGATTTTTCGATATACTATGCAGGGTCCCCCGATTATAAGTTGGTTTATAAACCCCATTAACTGTAGTTATAAGTGTCATAAATCATAGTGACATTGGAGTTATTTGCACCAACTTAGCTGTGTAGGGGGCCCCACATTGTACTAGTTAGTTGTTTTTTGCGTATCATAAATCATAAAACATAGTCATAAACCATGGTGAAATTGGAGGTATAAACTAACTTAACTATAGTCAGTATATACCATCCAACTAGGAGATTGTAAGTTAGTATTACAATGATATGGGACTAAGTATCGTACAATGTGAGGCCCCCCAGTTATAAGTTGGTTTATAAGCCCCAGTAACTATAGTTATAAGTACCATAAACCATAGTTATTGGAGTTATAAACCAACTTAGATATCTTGGGGGCTCACATTGTAGTATATGCCATATGGCATTAACTATAGTTGGACATTCATTTACATTACCCAGATGCAAACCATCGTGCTATATCGTGCTGGAATATGCACACCTACATTTACCCCAAAAATGGCACAGTTTTGTAGGTGTGCATATTCCAGCACCATGGGTTGCAATATGGAACATCTGGGAATAGTAATACCATCCATTTACATTACAATTGGTTTAAATAGTTGGCATTCATACATTACTATGACATTAACTATATAGGCATTTATAGTGATACTAACCAGGATTAGAAGGATTACGGATTAGTTTTGTATCTTCTTTCGAAGTGCCCAGATTAACCGTAATTATTAATTGCTATTGCAAATTAATGTCCAATTAATACCATCCATACAATGTGAGGCACCCTAGTTATAAGTTGGTTTATAAGCCCCAATAACTATAGTTATAAGTACCATAAACCATAGTTATTGGAGTTATTTGCATCAACTTAGCTATCGAACGGGGGCCCCGCTTTGTACTAGTTTGCAGATGTATATATATGATATATGGTTTCTTATAAATGATGCAGTTAGATGATATATTGATTTACCATTTGGTTATGATTATTAATTGCTATTGTAATGCAAATTAACCATAGTATTAATGATCTATAATTAAGTCCCCAGATAGTCCCCCAGATGTATATTAATTACTATTGCAAATTCATGTCCAATTAATACAATGTGGGGCACCCTAGTTATAAGTTGGTTTATAAGCCCCAATAACTATAGTTATAAGTACCATAAACCATAGTTATTGGAGTTATTTGCATCAACTTAGCTATCGAACGGGGGCCCCACTTTGTACTAGTTTGTAATACTTTGATCTATAATTAAGTCTCCAGATAGTCCCCCAGATGTATATTAATTACTATTGCAAATTCATGTCCAATTAACACCATCTAAGTAGACATTGACCGAGCCCTCGTACTACGAGGTGGCCTCTGAAGTTCCTGACGCCAGTTCCGATGCTGCGATGACCGGTGCGAACGGCTGCAAGGTGCGGCCAGCCAGCCAGCGGTGAAAGGGAGGCGATTACGCGAAAAAAAAAGCTGAGATTCACCTGGGAAACATACAATGTGAGGCCCCCGTTAGATATCTAAGTTGGTTTATAACTCCAATGTCACTATGGTTTATGGTACTTATAACTATAGTTACTGGGGCTTATAAACCAACTTATAACTGGGGGGGCTCACATTGTAGGGAAAATAGGTGATTTATGGTGATTTCGAGGAAAAATGATGATTTCCGGGGGATTTAGTTAGGTGAAAAATAACGATTTTGGTGGATTTTACTTGTGGAAAAACAATGTAGGATCAGATTTGACGATGAAATTGGCGGGATTTACTTGCAGCAGGCACCCCCAGTGAAATGTTTGTTGCTTTATGTCACTCCATCTAATTGTTTCCTTATCTCCACCACTAATCCAATTGTTCGCTGATAAACCAACTCTGTCTACGGGGGCCTTTTCCCATTGTTGGCGGAGTCATGAAACCCGCAAAAGATTGGGCATCGGATGATTGTTTCAGCGGGTTTGTGTAGGGAAACCATCAGATTTTTCAACAAAAACTGGTTGGTGGTTTGGAACATGAATCTTATTTTTCCATTCAGTTGGGAATGTCATCATCCCAACTGACTTTCACTCCATCATTTTTCAGAGGGGTTTTGGTCAACCACCAACCAGAAGAAATATTATCCCAGTTATCCCATTATTATCCATATTAAACCATATAAAACCATATTAAAGCCATATATCTATAGCCATGTATGCAAGAGCCAAATAGCTATTACATGGGGATGAAACCTGTAAGTTGACTGTGTGCCTTGAGTTACGGGATGGATTTATGTTGGACATGGAGATCATATTCGAAGCAAAAACATCGGCTGAGGTTTTTCTGTTTGTGCGGAAGCATGTCTCAGCATTTTTTGTTGTTGCCGTCGCTATTGTTTGTATGCTTGTGATTGTATCATTATCATGACAACGACGATGATAACGATGATGACGATGATGATGACGATGACGATGACGATGATGACGATGACGATGACGATGACGACGATGATGATGATGATGAGGATGATGATGATGATGATGATGATGGTGATGATGATGATGGTGATGATGATGATGATGATGATTGTTATTGTTATTGTTATTACTATCATTAGAATTATGTTACCCATGACAGATTGTGATGAAACCAATGACTTTGGTGCATGGTTGGGTTTCGATGATGACGATGCGCCAGGACACGCCCGCAGCGTCCAGCAGGGAGACCTGGGTTCGGCAATTTTCATCGGCAAAGAAGTGATGATAGGACACTCATGTGGGGAAAACAAGGACTGGGGGATTTAATGGTGGTTAATGGTGGTTAAAATGGTGGTTATAAGCCATCAATAGTGTAATTTATAGTGGTTAATAGTGATTAATAGTGATTATATGTGATTATATTGATGGTTGATGGTGGTTAAATGGTGATAATCATCATTGGATAATGATAGTGGATAACAATGGGAAAACCATGGGATAGTGATGGTTAATAGTGATCACTTGTGATGAATAGTGATTATAACCCATGAATAGTGATTTATAACCAATTTTTGGGTGGTTTTCATAGATTCATGTGGGTAAAACAATGTCATTTTTACCACCCATTTTCCTGGGAATGGTAAACATACTGTGGATGGAAGAAATCCTGCACCACCTTGGATGGTTGAAACCCTATAAACAATGGGAGAAAGCATCCATTAAGTGGTGCAGGATTTCTTCCATCCACAGTACCACCTATGATTTTATGGTGATGTCTGGGGCCCCCCTGGTGCTTTCTGGCATGGTTTTATCCGCATGATCCGAACGTCGAATGCTTGTGGGGTTATCCAATGGCTTTGATAAGCTGGAACCAAGTTATTGATATCAAACCTATTATCAATGGATTGGTTTAAGGGAAAATTTACAGGAAACATAACTATGAAACTAACATAACTATGCAACTAACTATGAAACTATGAAATTTACAGGAAACCTATTGATATAAAACATACAAAAAACTATGGAAAGATTCACCATTTTCAATGGGTAAATCCACTATTTCGACTGGGCCATTTTCAATAGCTTTTTGTATGTTTACCAGAGGTTAATAGTTTTGTATCAGACTAATTTTCATTGGATTGGTTTAAGGGAAAAATTACAGGAAACCATGGTGTTTACCATTAGATATTAGGTGTTCCTGTAAATTTTCCCTTAAACCAATCCATTGATATTATGTTGACAATTGTGGATAAATACAATTGGATAACCCATTGGTTTATCAAACCCATTATGGATATAACAAAAAATGGTTTATGGCATTGTTCTACCCACATGATCCTTATGTTGACAAACCATTGGATAAGTTGCATTGAGGATACTTCCTGGCCAAAGTGTGGATGTTTTTTGTGTAGGACTGGAACAGGTTCTCTTGCAGCCAATTCCCAGAATTGCCAACTGGTGAACCCGAAGTTTCATCTAGTGATGTTCCATCACAAAACTAGACCCACACATAGTTCAGCATATTTATGTAGAGGTCCTTTTTCTATTTGATGCTCAACTGCGCCACTCTACTTGTACAAAACCATGATAGGTTTATCCTCAAACGGGGCCTCTTTTTGTCCACTGGTAAATCATTTTCAAGGTGTATACCCAGTCCATAATCTGGATTTAAATAAAGCATTCAACAACTACTGATGAAAAATCCAATTAGATATCGGAAAATCTACAGGAAACCATGGTTTTTACCCCATATCATAGGGGTTTCCGGTTTCGATTTCCCGTTTATCATGTTTCGTTGACATGAAACATGGAAACACACCCAAATGCAAGCCATGGTGCTGGAATATGTTCCTACAATTTCCTACATATCACAGAAAAATGGCCCAGTGTTGGTACCCTCTGGTAATTTAACATAGCTATTGAAAATGGCCATTTATAGTGGATTTACCCATTGAAAATGGTGATTTTCCATAGTTATGTTAGTTTACCAGAGGGTAAATCTTCCAGGATCATGGGTTGCAAATGGGATACCTCAGGCCTTGGAAACCCAGGTGAGAGCAATCGGTCGCCATCTGCGAAGTTCTTCCACTCCGGGCACTTCGCGCTATCGAGGTGCCAATTGGATCTGGTTGGTGGTTTGGAACATGTTTTATTTTCCATTTCATATATGGAATGATCCTTCCCATTGACGAACTCATATTTTTCAAGATTGTTATTGCACCACCAACCAGGATTTTTTTTTCAATGAAAAATCTGAGGGAGTCCTATACCCTCTGGCAAACCAACATAGCTAAGGGACATCAGCATTTTGAATCTGGTTGGTGGTTGGGAAGATGAATGGATTATGACTTTCCATTCAGTTGGGAATTTCATCATCCCAACTGACAAAGTCATATTTTTCAGAGGGGTAGGTATACCACCAACCAGTGAATATCCAATCGGTAGATCAACTATAAATACGCCGTTTCCACTATGTTAGTTTACCACAGGGTAAGTGATGGGTGATGGGGGTACCCCAAAAAAACATCTAAAATCCAACATCTCTTGGTTTTCCTTCGAGTTTTACTGATTGCAAGACCAAAGGGGTCTTTGAATATGCTTCCAATCACGGAATATCTCCGACAAACTAGCAATTCAACAAGACATCACTAGTTTTTGTCCGCTGACTGTGTTTTTTCCCCGTTGAAATATGCCATTGACAGGTGAGATTTCCATAGAAACAAGGATTTTGGTGATGCATCCCTGTTCTGCGGTCAACACGTCGGACATGTCCCAATAAAAGGTCATCCGGTCATCCCCCCAAAAAATTGGAGTCAATAGATTCAATCAACTGGTAAATCCCATTCATGTGCAACAAACATATAGGTGTTTTATGTTGATTAATATATGTCTGACTTCAAGATGATGTTTTATCTTCAAAGCTTGGGATTCTTGATTCATGTGGGATGATCAGCCCATTTGGCATGGTTTACATCACGGAACTTGCCATATGTCACTCTAGACCCGTTTTTTTTCTCCCACAGATTTTGAGCCAACTTCATTTCAAAAAAACATGATGATCACATTGTCACATGGTCAGCACTTAGCCATTCAGAAGTCCGGGTTCTTTTCTGATCTTGGTGTTACTCTCTGGTAAACTAACATGGCTATGGAAAATCACCATTTTTAATGGGAAAATCCACTATAAATGGCCATTTCAATAGCTATTTTGACACAACCAGAGGGTAGACCATGTGAAACGCCTTCCCAACACCCAAAAACCCACTCAACACGATGATCCCAAGAATGCGCTCAGTTGTGCTCTTGGCGACCTTCCAGGTGCGTGTTTTCGAAACCCAATTCTGTAACTATTGGTTTATAAACCATTGCAAACGCCCATGAATACCATGCTGGTTGGTGGTTTGGAACATGTTTTATTTTTCCATATATTGGGAATAATGATCCCAACTGACCAATATCTTTCAGAGGGATTGAAACCACCAACCAGCATATATACATATATATATATATATTATATTTATAGTAGTTATATCCAACATAAAAGCATACTTAGATGGGCCATAGGAAAAATGCGATTCCTGGTTAGTAACTGAAGTTATAACCCTTAAAAAATCCAAATTAAATAATCCATTTACTTGTTTTCATCCGTCTCAGCCATGCCGAAAAAGGTCAAGGGCAAAGCTGCTGGCGGTGGGAGCAGGAATGATGCCGGGCGACGAAAGATGGCAATGGGTCGGAAAAGCACTGGATAAAGATAGCAAACTATAGCTAATAATGATGCCCATGGAAAATAACCAATAACCATGGAAACATATAGCTAATAATATTACCACTGAAACTATTAGCTAGTGATCAGATATGTCATAATGATTTGGACTGGAGTAATATCCATGGATGTGTTTTTTTTGAATCCGAAACTTGGAGTTGAGATTGCGAGGACACCTTCTGGATGGTTTTGTTTACTAATCTTTTGCAAAAATCTAACCAGCCAAAAAAAGAGTTGCCGCGGACTGGTCCGAAACACAATGAAATGTACCAACCATAAATGACCTTTGTCCGAAAACATGGTACCCAACGAACCACACATTGATGTCTACTCTCTGTGAATCTGAGGGTTTGCGAACTGGAAAATCACCCTTGTTACCCTCTGGTAAACATACAAAAACTATGGAAAATCACCATGTTTCATGGCTAAATCAACTATTTCTATGGCCATGTTGTCAATAGCTATGTTAATTTACCAGGGGGTAATGGGCAAATCATCGATTTTCATTGCTCCTTTTTGGGCTGGAAAATCACATCATGGTTAATGGTGTTCGCCGCCATCAGGTCCCTTTGAAATCCTTTGAAATCCTTTGAAACCCGTTTCAACAATCCCTTTGACACCCATTAAAGACAACAAAAACAGCGACCGGAGGATTCGTTTCAGCAAGTGGAGGTTTCCTAAAATAGGGCTACACCCAGTTCTCATCCATTCAATGGCCATTTCAGGATCCGATTGATTGGAGGTACCTACCATAGAAAAAAGGCCTATTTTTTAGGCCTATGTAAGGGAATATCCCCACAAAATATGGCCAAACATATGGTACTAACGTACCTCCATCAATTGGATCCTGGAGATTTCCCATTGATTTGTAGATGGAATTTCCACGAAATAAGCCATCCATTTCAGGAAACCCCCAATTTTAGGACATCCCCCATTTTAGCAAGTCATCACTCTGGACTTTGAAAGTAATAGTGGATATTCCTAGTAATGAAAAACATTTTTTGAAAAAATCCTAGTAATAGTGGATATTCCTATAATGGATAGTAATATCACTTCGGTAATCACTAGATTAAACACATCCAAAGTGATTTTTACCCATCAAAAATGGCGGATCTTTCCATAGTTGATGGAAAATCCATCCAATCACCAAAATAGATTAATAGTGGATATTCCTATAATGGATATTCCTAGTTAGTATATGATATCACTTGGGTAATCACGAGATTAAAAAAAAACATCCAAAGTGATTTGTACCCATCAACAATGCTGGATTTTTCCATAGCTGATGGAAAATCCATCCAATCACCAAAATAGATTAATAGTGGATATTCCTACATAATGGATATTCCTAGTAATCCCTCAGAGTGATTCCCCCCCACCACGAAACTTTCTGAGAGCTCCAAGGTTCATCTTGCTATGTGCAGTGCGTGCTGAGCTGGGCTCCGGAATCTCGAGGTGATCGGAGAGCGGCGGATGGAGGGATGAAGCAACAAAAACATGGGATGATGTATATTATATTTAAAGATATATGGATATAATATATATATATCTAGTATGTACGTTGATATATATACATATAGATATAGGTGTGTATACATTATATATATATACACACATTTATAATATGGTAGTGGTTTTTAGTAATATGATAATTATCATGGAGTCAATGATGATCCCACATTACTTGGTGGTTCATCCCGCTTAGTAAGTAGGTTAGTTCACCCCAGGTTCTAAGTGAGTTAAGTATGTTTAATCCACTTGTAACTATGGTGAACCTACTTACTAAGTTGGATGAGCCATCAAGTACACCATTGAACAGCTAAGGTGACGCACGTAACTTTGTGAATTATCTGGTTGATAAGTGAAATGTAACCAGGTTGCTTTAGCTTTGATAATGCTTACACCAAAGTTAACCAAAGTTACACCAAAGTTAACCAATGCTTACACAAGGATACACGATTTTTTTTATCCCAGGTTGGTTTATGATTGAATCCCACAGTGGAGATTTAGACCATGGAAATTCCATCACTAAATGCCATTGGGTGCCACAAATCATAAACACACCAGACCAGGACATTTGAAATCACCACGTTTAATTATTACTACTACTACTACTACTACTACTACTACTACTACTACTACTACTACTACTACTACTACTACTACTACTACTACTACTACTACTACTACTACTACTACTACTACTACTACTACGGTAGTAATATTATAGTAATAAGATAAGTACTATTTGGGATTAGCATATTAAGGTTTTAGACATCTACTACCATATTACTACCATTGGGTTTGTTTCATGTCCTGGTATCATGGGGGATTTTGAACATCTGTCGATGCATTTGTCGATGATATCCTCATAAGTTGGGTGATGTGAAAAAATAGGGCTTTTAGCAACCCTTGGTGAAGCCCTTGGTGAATGCATATTGAATATGGTTTCACTGGTTGGGATGGTTAATGGATGGTTAATGGATGGTTAATGGATGGTTAATGGATGGTTAATGGATGGTTAATGGATGGTTAATGGATGGTTAATGGTGGTTAATGGATGGTTAATGGATGGTATAGACGTTCTATAATATCTGGTTGGTGGTTTCAAACATGACTTTTGCTTTCCATTTCATATATGGGATGTCACCCTTCCCATTGACGAACTCCATCATTTCTCAGAGGGGTTGAAACCACCAACCAGCATGGATTGAATATGATGATTCTCTTTGATATCTTAGAGATAGCGGATAAATCACTTTGGGGATTATAAGATAGTGGTGATTCAACAAAAACAAAAATCATCCCAGAAATTTTCAGCGCACAAACCCCTATTATAGACTGAGCATGAAAAAGACACGATTTCGGACCAGTGGATTTCACACGGATTGTGGGTTTGTCTGAAAATAGGCTTCCCCAAAATCCACTGGTTTTATGATCACCTTCCCCATACAAAAACAATGCCACAATTCATTGGGATACTTTGTTAACCAATCCCAGTGATGCTTTGTCAACCAATAGTTGTCAGATGTTTATAGGGCTTATATAAGTTGGGTAACCCCCCATTTTGATTGAGATATCTCAATTTCTATTAGTTACCCACTGGTTATGACATTCACAGTTCGCCATGGAAAGATCCACCATGCTAAAAAAAGAACGGTGTTTACCATCGAACTTTCGATTAGGGCCATCGAAAAACCATGGCGAACTGTTAGTCATAACCAGGCCGGGTATCTCCCATTGTCAGACCCTCTGGTCAGTAGAGATTGTTTGCCCCCAAGAAAAATGAATCTGGAGAATCCACCATTTGCTTCGATGATTTACCCTCTGGTAATTTAACATAGCTATTGAAAATTGCCATTTATAGTGAGTTTTCCCACTAAAAATGCTGATTTCCATAGTTTTTTGTACGTTTACCAGAGGGTAACACATCCACCACCACTGAAAAAAATAGAGGGATTTCCCATTGCCACGTTTGATTACCAGAGGGTCAAAGTGATGACTCCCAGTGACAGTATGTGACAGTCATATAGGGAAGTGGTTCCATCTTTGGTATCTATAAGTCACTACCATGTGGGCCCCCCCAGTGATGTTTGTTGGTTTATAAACCCCATGATACTATAGTTTTTTGCGCATCATCAACCAAGGTTAAGCCACTTATAAGGCCCATGAACTATAGATATAAGTATATATATATATAAGTATCACAGACCAAGGTTATTGGGGTTATTTGCACCACCTGAACGCTATTGTTTTGGGACCCCACATTGTAAAGATCCAATCTCCGGACCGCTGGACCGCGGCCAGGCTCCTGAAAAGATTGAGAAGACCTGTGAGTTAGCGTCTTTGATGGTAATCCTGTAAAGTTCGATTTTTCAGGGATGATTCTCTAGTCTGATAGTCTGCAATAGTCTGCAAATGTCTGCAACTCTTTTTCGGAGAAGCCCTCTGAACAAAAAGCTTGCGAGGACATGAGAAAGACATATTCTTGAATTTCAGAATCATCCCCCATAGCGGCTTTGTTGGCGTGCGGCCTGAAACTGCAGCAACCAAAAAAACTCAATTTCATTCTGTCATTCTCCAAGCAATGCCATGAACTACAGCTCGACAAACAATTTAGTCTCTATAAACATTTCCAAAAAAACTGGGGAGTTGTTTTTTCAAGTCAAGGCCGCTAAATACTAAAAGTGTTTTTTTTTCTTTCGGTGGTTATATTAAATATATGATTGGAAAACACTGTTTTTGTATGGCTCAAAACATGGTTTATATTCCCATAAAAAGAGATGATCATAAATCAATGAATAGGGATGTATATATATAATTATAATATATATATAATATGTATAATATATATATATAATATGTAAATTATATATATATGGGTAAATTATAACGACCTCACTGTCCTCCCTCACTGGGAATCATGGTTTATTTTAGGGAAATCATTCCCTTTTATGGCCTTAATGCAGCTTGGTGAAATATTGTAATTTGCCCAGATATATATTATATTCACTACAAGAAAATCCATTATTGGATGGATAACCACATCAAACATGGGGAATCTATTGGGAGAAGAGACAAAAATCAGAAAAGTTGATGTCCATGCAATGTTCGGCAAACAAAAATAAGATAAGCAAAAAGAAACTCAATCGCAAACAAATCAAAGAACATGAATCGTCAATATAAAGGAAAAAGATAATTAAAATAGATCACACAATTAAAATAAGTAGAGAAATGAGATAAATTTCTACAATGTGAGGCCCCCAAGATATCTAAGTTGGTTTATAAGTCCAATAACTATGGTTTATGGTACTTATAACTATATAGTTACTGGGGTTTATAAACCATCTTATAACTGGGGGGCCCCACCTTGTATAGATTTCTACCTTAATTAAAGCCATCCTGGCGCATGGCTGCAGTGTCGGGCGCAGCCCGCGCAGCCCACGCCCCAGAGTCAACGTGCCGAAGATGCCGCCACGTCGCTGCGCCAAACGAGCGACGAAGTGAGAAGCAAAGGATCTCTGAGAATTTCACTGGTGCACATCTGTAATGGTTGGATAATGTTGGATAATATCCATCTATTTCCATTCTCCAACCATACAATATGGATGATTTGGTAATAATTTAGATGAAAACCCTACTTAGATGGGCCATGGAGTTAGCGACAACTAGTTAGGAAATGGCTTATTTAATTCGGATTTTTTTGGGGTAAACTAACTCCAGCTACTAACAGTGAATTTCAGTGGTGCACATCTTTTTGGTGAGTTTAGTACTTAGACGGGACATAGGAAAAATGCGATTCCTGGTTAGTAACTGGGGTTTGTTTACCCGCAAAAAATCCCAATGAAATAATCCATTGACTAACTAGTTCACTAATTCCATGGCCCATCTAAGTAGTAGTAGTGAAGAATGATTTAATCATCAACAATAACTGGTTTTTCGTGGAGTTTCGTAGTGAATGTGTAATTATCATACTCTATCAATGTACATTTTTCTATGTACATATGTATATATATATAACTGGTTGGTGGTGACTGGAACCATGGAATTTTATGATTTTCCATTCAGTTGGGAATTTCATCATCCCAACTGACGAACTTATATTTTTTCAAAGGGGTAGGTATACCACCAACCAGTAAAGAGTGGTGATTCTACCAGCAAGAGAAAGGTCTTCAGTTGAAAGGAATGCTGATTAGTAGCAACCAGATGTGATGGTTGAAAGTCATTCATCTGGATTAAAAAAAACACGACCTCACTGTTCTCCCAAACCCTGGAATCATGGTTTAGATAAAGGGGAATCATCCCCTTTTATGGCCTTATTTCAGGTGAGTGAAATATTTTGCAATTTGCCAAGATAATGATAGGAATAACTATATCCCACTAATATTTGAGGCTATTTCCCATGAATATCCCACTATAACTCACATTAAAATCCCATAAATACACTTAGTATCCATAATATGTCACTACAAGAACATCCATTATTGGATGGATAACCACATCAAACATGGGGAATCTATTGGGAGAAGAGACAAAAATCAGAAAAGTTGATGTCCAGTCCATGCAATGTTCGGCAAACAAAAATAAGATAAGCATCCAATATGGGGAAATCCCAACGTCACTGTTGTTCCCCACGAGTAGTTCCCGACGAGTTAGTTATGTTGGTTTAGTTTCACCCAGCTAGTGAAGAAAAACACTTTGCTGGCACCATGATATTCCTAATATATCCATTATTCATTAGTAATATATATATATACAATATATGTATATATTTTAATAATGTTAATACGAATATATGTTAAACAATATCCATGATATTCCTAATATATCCATTAGTTATATTCCTAATAATCACCATGATATTTGTATTTTTTGATGGTTAACCCCCCCGTAAATCCACCATTATGACAAATCATGAAAAATCACACACATTGTGAACCAATATACCTGGATTTGCTAACGTTCTGTCGTTGTTTTCTCGATGAAAAACTGATAAAAATGGTTGAGGCTTGAATGGGCAAATCATCTATAAATGTGGGATTCCGGTGGGTATATCTTCATTAAATCACCATTTACAGTGGCTAAATCCCCTTAAATCCCCATGTAAATCATCAAATCTCTCCAATCTTCAATTTGATGTGGGGCCATGCTATCACCACCCCGAGCAGGCCTCAGCTGGGATAGTCTCCGCCGTCGGCTCAATTTTTGGAGTCAAACAAAAACTTTGATGATATAAACAATTTCAACAAAAGACTTTGAAGAATCACTGAAGAATCTAGTAATATATCATTCAAAAAGGTGATCATAATATTCATTCAAAAAAAAGCTTCAACAACAGTTTCCCACAGTCCCAACATGTCCCATCACAACAAAGGGAAAAATCAATGACCCCATTTCCCAGGATACCCTCTGGTAAACTAACGTAGCTATAGAAAATCACCATTTTCAATGGGTAAATCCACGAACTAAATGGCCATTTTCAATAGCTATTTTGACATAACCAGAGGGTATCATAAAAACCACGGCAAGTTACACAGCCACGCGCGCGCCATTTTTCCTCTGCGGTCGAACGATGGCTGTTTTGGAAGCAGACCGTCCTGCTGCCGAAGGCTGTGATGTAGGGATGATCACCACGAGGTGATGCGTCCCAAGTTGTGTTTGTTGGAAAAAATATCTATAGTTATGGTAGATATATCTATAGTTATGGTAGATATATCTATAGTTATGGTAGATATATCTATAGTTATGGTAGATATATCTATAGTTATGGTAGATATATCTATAGTTATGGTAGATATATCTATAGTTATGGTAGATATATCTATAGTTATGGTAGATATATCTATAGTTATGGTAGATATATCTATAGTTATGGTAGATATATCTATAGTTATGGTAGATATATCTATAGTTATGGTAGATATATCTATAGTTATGGTAGATATATCTGTAGTTATGGTAGATATATCTATAGTTACTATAGTTATGGTAGATATATCTATAGTTATGGTAGATATATCTATAGTTCATCGAATTATGATAGCAAAATGTATAGCGTTCAGTTGGTTTATCCCATGAAAACTATAGAAATATCTACCATAAGTCCTAGTGAAAGTAGAGTTATAAACGCACAAACTGTTGCCGCGTTCAGCGTTCACAAGGGCACCAGCTCGCAAGGTTCAGAAGTCTACTTGCGGTGGTGCCGCAGTTCGTTAGCTAACTTGGTCTATATCTCCACTAAGGACTTATGGTAGATATATCTATATAAGTTCCTAGGGGGATATAGCCATAATTATGTCTAATTATCTGGTTCCACTTGGTAGTTCCTATATCTCTTCGTTGCTAATTATCTATAGTTCCTATGCTTTATAAGCCAACTTGTAAGAAATCCTCCAGTTGGAAGATGGTAAGCATCCCCTGATCATCCCCTCATAGTCACAGTGTTTCATAGGAATCCTAATAATTAATATTTAATGAAGGTTTCCTAAAGTGGGGGTACCCCAAAATCATCCAAAAGCGTTTTTTCTTTAATACATGGGAAAACCAACGGTTTGGGGTACCCATTTTTTGGAAACACCCATAATTACTCATATGTACAAATTTGTGTATATTTCAGCATGTCACCATAATACTGTTGTTCATCACCCGTTTGTACTAGATTTACTCACCAACATATACAAGTATATGTTGGAATAGTTGTTATTTAATAACATTATATGTATGTATTGCTTATTAAGCATGATATGTTTTATACTCGTTATGATTTGCATGTATGATTTATTATACACATGCATCAGGAGACGGTACCCTTTTTTGAATCCAAATACCCTGTGGTAAATTAACATAGACCCTGGCAGATAGGGGTTGGAAGATTAGTTTCCATTAAAACTAGGCTATTTTCAGGGTCTATGTTTATTTGCCAGAGGGTAAATGTGGGCATATTGAACAAGGATTGAACATTCTGGTTCTTTTATATTTTGGAATGATAATGGATAAATTACATGGGGAAATGGATGAAAATAATTGGAGAGTATATCCGAACATTGCAACATTTTTTCCTTTGCATATGTTTATTATACCTTTTCACAATCAGATGTGTGTCATGATTTTGTTGCTATGCATAGAGGTGTGCAATGTAAAGAAGAATAGGACATTTATCCTATAGGGCAAAGTAACGTAGATGTGGACACATGGTTTCGTTCGGAAAGCAATCTGCAAATGGTTAATTTTCAACATTTACTTGTTGGTGGTTTCAAGCATTTTTTATTTTCCATATTATATAGGATAATCCTTCCCATTGACGTTCATATTTTTCAAGATGGTTATTGCACCACCAACCAGTTTAGTTCGATGATATTCCCCTTTAAACGATCCATTTGCCAAGCAAAAAAAAACACGTGACCAGG